ATCTTTGACAAAGGAGGCAGAAATGTACCGTGGAGAAAGGACAGCCTATTCAATAAGTGGTGCTGGGAAAACTGGACAGCTACATGTAAAAGTATGAAGTTAGATCACTCCCTAACACCATACACAAAAATAAGCTCAAAATGGATTAAAGACCTAAATGTAAGGCCAGAAACTATCAAACTCTTAGAGGAAAACATAGGCAGAACACTCTATGACATAAATCACAGCAAGATTCTTTCTGACCCACCTCCTAGAGTAATGGAAATAAAAACAAGAGTAAACAAATGGGACCTAATGAAACTTAAAAGCTTTTGCGCAGCAAAGGAAACCATAAAGAAGACCAAAAGACAACCCTCAGAATGGGAGAAAATATTTGCAAATGAAGCAACTGACAAAGGATTGATCTCCAAAATTTATAAGCAGCTCATGCAGCTTAATAACAAAAAAACAAACAACCCAATCCAAAAATGGGCAGAAGACCTAAATAGACATTTCTCCAAAGAAGATATACAGAGTGCCAACAAACACATGAGAGAATGCTCAACATCACTAATCATGAGAGAAATGCAAATCAAAACTACAATGAGATATCATCTCACACCAGTCAGAATGGCTATCATCAAAAAATCTAGAAACAATAAATGCTGGAGAGGGTGTGGAGAAAAGGGAACCCTCTTACACTGTTGGTGGGAATGTAAATTGATACAGCCACTGTGGAGAACAGTATGGAGGTTCCTTAAAAAGCTACAAATAGAACTACCATATGACCCAGCAATCCCACTACTGGGTATATACCCTGAGAAAACCATAATTCAAAAAGAGTCATGTACCAAAATGTTCATTGCAGCTCTATTTACAATAGCCCAGAGATGGAAACAACCTAAGTGTCCATCATCAGATGAATGGATAAAGAAGATGTGGCACATATATACAATGGAATATTACTCAGCCATAAAAAGAGACGAAATTGAGCTATTTGTAATGAGGTGGATAGACCTAGAGTCTGTCATACAGAGTGAAGTAAGTCAGAAAGAGAGAGACAAATACCATATGCTAACACATATATATGGAATTAAAAAAAAAAAATGTCATGAAAAACCTAGGGGTGAAACAGGAATAAAGACACAGACTTACTAGAGAATGGACTTGAGGCTATGGGGAGGGGGAAGTGTAAACGGTGACAAAGCGATAAAGAGGCATGGACATATATACACTACCAAACGTAAGGTAGATAGCTAGTGGGAAGCAGCCGCATAGCACAGGGAGATCAGCTCGGTGCTTTGTGACCGCCTGGAGGGGTGGGATAGGGAGGGTGGGAGGGAGGGAGACGCAAGCGGGAAGAGATATGGGAACATATGTATATATATAACTGATTCATTTTGTTGTGAAGCTGAAACTAACATACCATTGTAAAGCAATTATACTCCAATAAAGATGTTTAAAAAAAAAACAAAAAAAAAAAACCATATGAGGTATCACCTGTTAGAATGGCTATTATAAAAAAAAAAAACCCCACAAAAGTCAACAAGTGTTGGCAAGGATGTGGAGAAATTGGAATCATTGTACAATGTTGATGGGAATGCTAGATATTGTGGCCACTGTGCAAAACTGTTGGAGATTCCTCAAAAAATTAAAAATAGAACTACTGTATGACCCAGCAATCCTACTTCTGGATATTTTTCCGGAAGAATTGAAATCAGGATCTCAAAGCAGTATTAGCATTTTCGTGTTCATTGCAGCACCACTTACAATAGCCAAGATGTGAATACAAGCTAAATGTCCATCATTGGATGAATGGATAAAGAAAATGTGGTATATACATATAATGGAATGTTGTTCAGCCATTAAAAAGAAGGAAATCCTGCATTTATGACAACATAGATGAACCTTGAGGACATTATGCTGAGTGAAATAAGCCAGTCACAGAAGGACAAATAACTGCATGATTCCACTTAAGCTATCTCAAATAGTGAAGCTCGTAGAACTGAGAGTAGAATGGTTGTTGCTTCAGGCTGGGATGACAGTAAAGTGGGATGTTGCTAATCAATGAGAATGAAGTCTCAATTGTGCAAAATCTAGAGATCTGCTGTACAACGTTGTCCCTATTGTTAAAAATGTATGCTTAAATTTTTGTTAAGAGAGTAGATCTCATTTAAGTGTTCTTAAGCACAGTAGAATAAAATTTTTAAACCTTGAGGAAGTTTTGCTTCACAAAAGACACCCTTATGAAGGGGAAAAGGGAAGCCACAATGTGGGAGAAGATGTCTGTAATACATATTTCCAATAAAGAACTCATACTCAGAATATATACAGAATCCCTGTAAACCAGTAACAAAACACGGGAAAGCCTAATAGGCAAAATATTTGAAAAGACGCTTCACAAAAGATGATATCAAAGGAGCTCAAAACATGAAAAATTGCTCAACATCACTAATCATCAGAAAGAGACAAATTAAAATAAAAACGAGTGTCCCCTACACACCTATAAGAGTGGCTAAAATTAAAAGAACAGGCAACCTCAAGTGTTGGTTAGAATATCAAGCAACAAGGACTCTCACACACTGCAGGCAGGAGCATATATTTTATCACTTTAATACTTTTATTACAGTTCAGCAGTTTAGCATCTTCTAAAGTTATCAGGTTTCAGTTGTTTACAATTTTCATTTTTAAAACTATCATGCTTACATTTTATATTTACTTTATATTATAACTAAACTTTTATTTCCTAGAATTTTGCAAAGGAGATTTTCCATAAATTTTGAGTCTAATTACCTTAAATATTTTTTTCCTTTTCCATTTAATTTGAATCTGCTTGTCTTTACTTCTGTTTTTATACTTTTAACTTTAAATCTTATTCTTTTCTTTTCAAATATCAATAATCTGTATATAGGTAAGCTTCTGTATATTTAACATAAATTCACTATTTTTTATATAAAAGGGTAGGAAAAATTGAGAAAAAGATTCTGAAATTCATATGAAAGGAAAGTAGGGATAACCAGGTAAACTTTAGAACTAACAATTAGTTAAAATTTAGATCTTTTTATTTTCAGAAAGCATCTTTCTGATTTTTAATGATTATCAAGTATTTATTAAAATATCTAAAATACCTTGGTAGGTATATGAATTAAAGATAAATTTCTCATAATCACAATACCCAAAGAAAAGTTCCATTAACAATATAGATGTATATATTCTTAAAAATTTTTTCTAAAGAATAAACATAGGGCTTCCCTGGTGGCGCAGTGGTTTGAGAGTCCACCTGCCGATGCAGGGGACACGGGTTCGTGCCCTGGTCTGGGAAGATCCCACATGCCACAGAGCGGCTGGGCTCGTGAGCCATGGCCACTGAGCCTGCGCGTCCAGAGCCTGTGCTCCGCAACGGGAGAGGCCACAACAGTGAGAGGCCCGCGTACCGGGGAAAAAAAAAAAAAAAAGAAAAATAACATTTAAAAAATCCATTATTATGAATATGTAAACTACTTCCAGTTTTTCTGTATTATGAACACCCTGTAATAAACATCCTTATATTATTATATAAATTATAATAGTCTAAATAATAAACTAAAGGCTATATAAATTATAGCCTCAGGGTAAATCCCTAGAAGAGAGCTTGATCAAAGCATAAATATAATATTTACACTCTTGCTTTTTGATATCTACTGCCAAATTACCTGATTGTAATGATGACCACCAATCCATTTGTGTCAGGTTGTAACCTTCATAAGTTATTTTTAGTCATTTGTACATTTGAGTGATGTGCTTTCTAGTTTATCTTAAATTTTACTTTTTCACTATTGTATTGAATTTTCTTTATTTTCCACTGTGTCACTTAGTAATAAGCTGTTTCTTAAATGAGTATGTAATAGAAAAATATGTAATATAAAAGTAAGGGATTAGAGGCATTTTTGAGACTTCCTTTAGTATGAGGGATGCTTAGTGTACGTTTACCTTTTCCCATCTCTCTCGCTCCACTGATTTTTTTTGTTATGTAAGTTGGGAGTTTAGACCTAGCCTAATGTTAATAAATTCCTGTTTTTTAAACATTATTTTCTTGGTTCCAAAAACACTTTATCATTTTCAGTTTTGTGCTGAGGTTTACAACAAACATTTGACTCTATTTTATGCTTAACTGTTTTCATCATTCATAATTCTGATGGATTATTTTCGATTTTAATGACAATAAGATTCTTTTTAGTCCGGAGAGCTTGGGATACCCAAATCTTGCCTTGACTCTCCTCTCTTGATTTATTCAATAAATTGCACGTGCTTGTGAGTAGGTGAATCATTCTGTTTCTTATTATAGCAGTACAAGTAATAAACGTTCATTTAAAAATATTCAAAAGAATAAAAAAATTATCATCATTAATCTTAGCACCTAGGATGATCATTTTAAAATATTTCAATATATATAGATGTATATATGGTGTATATGTTGGTGTTTTATCTTTTATAAAATGTGATTGTACTTAGAAACATCACAATTTTTCGTTTTTATTCTAAACTAAAATCCGTTTATATACTTAGAATGGAAATTTAAAGGCACTTTGCTTTATTGACCTAGTTACCAAAAATAGATAAACACTTAGGATATTTTAGGAAGCCACTCTAGTAGAAGACTAAGAATATTTGCAGTTGAAGGTAACAGATGATTTTTTTTTCTGGAATCAATTTTTATTTTCTTCATCCTTTCTCTTCAGTTTTCCATGCCTTTTAAATAAATTCTTGTGTTAGAGATATGTGGGCTCCAAAAAAAATAATAAATAACTGGTATTTTGTGGTGTGCTTTGTCTTGTTTTCCCTCACAGTAACAGTCTCTAACAATCTTGGCCTGAAGAGAGGATGGTACCAAATAAATCACCAGAAACTGGCCTAAACCAAGAAGGAAAAAACATATTTCTCGCTCGCCTCTGTTGTCACTGCTGAGGGTTAAATTATGAAATAATAAATCATCTGCCCCTGAATCACCTGAATTATGTCTGGTGTTTTCTCTGTATTTTCAGTTCCAACTTCCAACCTATCTACTCTAACTTGAATCCAGAAAAGGCTCTGAATCAGGTAAAAGCAGCCAAAGACCCTCACCCCATAAAGCCCTGAGGGCCTGCCAGTTGTGCCTCATGACCCCAGGGTAGAGAGCATCCCTTTTCCTTTCTGCTCTTTAGGTTGACCTGAATCTCCTCCCCACCCCCGGAAGTCTTAACCTTCCTCCTTCCTTGCAGAGCTTCTAAACTTCAGCTAGCCTGTGACTTGTCCCAGTGGCATTTACTCAGCTAGGAGTTGAATCCAGTGTTTCTCTTGTTACTGCTTCTCCTCTTTGAAAGCTGTGTACCCACTTTAGTGTATTCAGATTCCTTTTTTTTTAATTATTAATTTTTACTGGAGTATGGTTGCTTTACAATGTTGTGTTAGCCTCCACCGCACAACAAAATGAATCAGCCATACACATACAGATATCCCCTCCCTTTTGGACTTCCCTCCCATTTAGATTACCACAGTGCATTAGGTAGAATTCCCTGTACTATACAGTATGTTCCCATCAGTTGTCTATTTTATACATAGTATCAATGTATGTGTGTCAGTCCCAGTCTCCCAATTCCTCCCACCCCACCCCTTTCCCCCTCTATTCCTTACTATAGATTCATTATTGATTATTTGTGTCAGCAGTTTTCAGATGGCTTAGATTCCCGCTAAGCAAGGCCTACCTATGTCATGGATTTTACTTTAGTATTTTTATAGTATGTACCAAAGAATATTTTAATTTTCATTGAATTTTCCTCTTTGATCCACGGATTAATTAGAAAAGTATTACATCAAATATTTGGGGATTTTTATATATTTATAATATATTTGTCTTAAATTAACTTTCGTTAGAGAACATAATCTGAAATATTTCAGTCATGAGAAATTGGTTAAGAGTTATTTTATACCTAAGCATGTGATATATATCATTAAAACTTTTATACATATTTAAAATGTGTATTTTGCAGAGGTTGGGTATACTGTTCTCTATATGAGGTAGGTCATGTGTTTTCATCATATTTTTCAAATCCCTCACATATTTGTTGATTTTTCTAATTTTTTTCTGATAATAATTTCCTTTTGTGTACTGAAGTTATACTAAGATTTATAAAATATTATAATTTTTGTGACTTTTAATTTTATGTGTCACCTCAACTGGGCTAAGGGATGCCCAGATAGCTGATTAAAACATTATTTCTGAACGTTTCTGTGAGGGAGTCTCTGGAAGAGGTTAGCATCTGAGTCAGAAGACTGAGTAAAGACCACTCTCAAAGATGCTGGTGGGCAGCATCTAATCCATTGAGCTCCTGAATAGAATAAAAGGACAGAGGAAGAGTGAATTTGCTCTGTGCTTGATTTGAGACTTCTATTTTCTCCTGCTTTCAGACATTGGCACTCCTGCTTTTCAGACTGGGACTTATACTGTCACTACCCCCATTCCCATTCTAGACTTTCAGACTTGGGCGGAATTCATCATCAGCTTTCCTGGTTCTCCAGTTTGTAGATGGCAGATCATGGGATTTCTTGGCCTCCATAACCACATGAGCCAATTTCTATAATCTCATGTCTCTCTCTCTCTCTCTCTCTCTCTCCCCCCCACCCCCACTCTCTCTCTCTCTATATATATATATATAATCTCCTGTTCTGTTTCTCTGGAGAACCCTGACTGATACAGATTTGGGGACTTAAAGGATGAGTTTTCTGAATTGGTTTTGGGATTCCTGGAACTGGCTTTGTAATCTGATTAAGTTTTAAGATGCTGTTGACTCAGGAACTTCCCTGGTGGTCCAGTGGTTAAGACTTTGTCTTCCAATGAAGGGGTGTGCATTCAGTCCCTGGTCAGGGAGCTAAGATCCCACATGCCTCGTGGCCAAAAATCCAAAACAGAAGCAATATTGTAAGAAATTCAATAAAGACTAAAAGAAAAAAGTTGCTGTTTACAGAGATATGCAAAATATCTGCTTTGGATACTTCTAATCAACCACTTATAGGAAGAAAGGAGCCACGTGACTCTATATGATATTTTTGAACATTTTTGGAAAATGAAGGAATATAATGACATTGGTTGATTTCTCCTAATGTTGCTGGACAACATAGGGAAAGGAAAAGATAAGTTCAGAGACCTGAATTCCCAGGTCAAGTGTTGCGTAAATGACCTAAAGGCTTCCAGGTGTGCCCTGAAGAAAGGACTTATCTCCTATAGCCCCAGGGCTGAAATTGCTGAAAATTAAATGGAGAACTTCCTCCTGGCTGATTTATAATGCAAGTTGACCTCCTGGCCTCACAGGGTGTCTGTTGTCAAAGTGAGGGCATTCATTGGGAAAGAATGAGACCCTATAAGGTGGGATGGAGATGTGTTGGAATATGCTGTTGAAGCCAGGGACACTGAGCCCCTAAATCCTGATGAGTCCTCATTGTGGAAGAGGCCTCCCAGCCTCAGCAAAAGTATTCTCCCCAACTCCAGTGGAATTGACCTTCTCACCCACAGTGCTGTCTCCACCCACAGTGGTTTCAGCCTTTCCACCTCAATTTGAGGGAATTAACCTTGAGGAAATGGTCTTGGACTCAAGACACTGCTGATTCTCCTCAGGACTGACCCCCACCATCCATCTTTGCTTCTAGACCTATAACTAGACACAGTCTAAGCAGATTCCTGAAGGTGAGGTGAACTACACTCCAAAAGAACTAATTGAGTTCTCTGATTTATATAAGCAGACATCGAGAGAAGCTCTGTGGGAAGGGATATTAAGGGTGTGGGATAACAGTGGAAGGAAAATAAACTTGCATCAAGCCAAATGTATTGACATAGGCTCACTAAGAAGAGATTCTGCATTTAATGCTGCAGCTTAGGAGTTAAAAGTGCTCTAACAGTTCGGTTGGTTGGCCAAAACATAGACCAAAAATAGCCATGATGAGCAAATTGTAAATGTCCAACCTCCTCTGATTTAATTTAGAGAAAGAGATTCAGAGGTTACTGTCACCATCAAGGACTTGAAAGATGTACAGGTGGTGGTTCCCACCACATACTCATTCAACTCTCCTATTTAGCCTGCAAAGAAGACAGATGGATTTTGGAGAATAAGCATGGATTACATTAAGCTTAACCAGGGGCTGACTCCAGTTGCATCTGCCATACCAGTTGTGGTTTCATTGCTTGAGCAGATTAGCACGTCCTCTGGTCCCTGGTATGCAGCAATTTTTGTCAGCAGGCAAAGTCAGCAATACACCTTCACTGTCCTACCTACCGGGGTCTATCAACTCTCTAGCCCTATGTCATAATATAGATCTTCATCACCTTTCCCTTTCACGAGATATCATACTGGTCCATTACATTGATAACATGATGCTGATTGGACCTAGTGAGTGAGAAGTAGCAACTACTCTAGACTTATCATTAAGACATTTGCTGTCAGAAGGTGGGAAATAAATCTGACTAAAATTTTGGGGCCATCTATCTCGATTTCTAGTGAAATTTCTAGGAGATCAGTGGTGTGGGGCTTGTTGAGATACTCTTTTCTAAGGTGAAAGGTAAATTTTTGATTCTGGACAGTCCTATAGCCAAGAAAGAGGTGCAATGCCTAATGGGCTTCTTTGAATTTTGGAGACAGCATATTCCGTATTTGAGTGTGTTTCTTCAACCCATTTGCCAAGTGACCCATAAAGCTGCTAGTTTTGTATGGGGCCCAGAGCAGGAGAAGGCTCTGCAGCAGGTCCAGGCTGCAGTGCAAGCTGCTCTTCCACTTGGGCCACATAAGCCAGCAGATCCAATGGTACTTGAAGTGGGAAGTGGCGGATAGGGGTGCTGTTTGGAGCCTTCGGCAGGCCCCATTGTGTATCGTGGTGCAGGCCATTAGGACTATAGAGAAAGGCCCTGACATAATCTAAAGAGAACTATTTTCCTTTTCGAAAACAACTTTTGGTCAGCTACTGGCAGAGCCTTAGTAGAGACTGAACACTTGACCATAAGCCACCAAATTATACTGCGGCCTCAGCTGTTGAGCATAAACTATGTTTTCTGACCACCAAGTCATAAAATCGGGCTGCACAGAAACATTCCATCATCAAATGGAAATGGTAACTGTGATCAGGCCCAAGCAGGCCCTGAGGCACAGGTAAGTTACAAGAAGAAGTGGAATAAATGCCTATAGTCCCAACTACCACCACAGTGCCTTCTCTCAGCTTGCATTTATGGGCTCATAAGGAGTTCCCTATAATCAGTTGACAGATGATTCTGCCTGGTGTGCAGGCATCACTTGGAAGTGGAGAGCAGTAGCACTACAGCCCCTCTCTTGGACATCCTTGAAGGATAGTGGTGAAAGGAAATCCTATTAAAAGCGCAGAACTTCAGGCAGTGTACCTGGTTGTGCAATTTGCTTGGGAGGAGAAATAGCCAGACGTGTGATTATATACCAATTCTGGGCTGTAGCCAGTGGTTTGGCTGGGTGATCAGGGACTTGGAAGGAACATAATGGAAAACTGATGACAAAATTATTTGGGGAGGAAGTATGTGGCTAGACCTCTCTGAATGGGCAAGAAACATGAAGACGTTTGTGTCCCATGTGAATGTTCACTAAGGGTGATCTCAACAGAGGACAATTTTAATAATCAGGTGGAAACGACCCATTTTGTGGATACTAGTCAGCCTATTTCCTAGCCATGCCTTTATCGTCAAATGGGCTAGTGAATAAAGTGATCGTGGTGGCAGGATGGGCTTAGCAACCTGGCAGCACCACTGCTGAATGCCTAATCTTCCAGCAGCAGAGGCCAACACAGAGCCCAGGATACAGCACCATTCTCAGGATGGTCAGCCACCTACCTGGTGGTGGGCTGATTACCATCAAGGAAGGGACAGTATTTTTTCCTGAACTCTGGGTTCAGGTTTACCTTCCCTATATGTAATGCTTCTGCCAAAACTGCCATCCATTGATTGACAGAATGACTTACCCACTGTCACAGTATTCTATGCAGCATTGCTTCTGATCAAGGAACTAAATTCACAGCAAAAGAATTGCAGCAGTGGCCCTGGGCTCATGGAATTCACTCGTTCCCCACCATCCTGAAGCTGCTGGCCTGATAGAATGGTGGCATGGCCTTTTGAGCACTCTATTACAGTGCTGGCTAGGTGGCAGTGTTTTTCAGGGCTGGGGCAAGGTTCTCCAGAAGACTGTCCAATATATGATGCTGTTTCTCCAGTAACCAGGATTCATGGGTCCAGGAATTGAAGGGTGGAAAGAGGAGTGGCACCACTCACTATTACCCCAAGTGACCCACTAGCAAAAGTTTTGCTTCCTGTTTCCCAACTTTAAGTTCTGTTGGCCTAGAGGTCTTAGTCCCAGAGGGAAGAATGCTTTCGCCAGGAAACACAACAGTGATATCTTTAATTGGAATTAAGACTGCTGCATGGCTACTTCGGTTCCTCATACCTCTGAATCAATAGGAAAACAAGGGAGGTAAGGTATTGGCTGTGGTTAGTGATCTTGACTACCAAAGGGAACTGGACTACTCAACAACAGAGGTAAGGAAGAGTATGTATGAAATACAGGCAATCCTGTGGAATGTCTCCTCATATTACCATGCTCTGTAATTAAGGTCAATGAAGAACTACAACTCCATCCAGAAAGGATTACTAATGGTGCAGACCTTTCAGAAATGAAGGTTTGGGTCAGCAAAGCAGCTCAGGTGCTTGATGAAGTCAAAGGGAATGCAGAGTGGAGAATAGAAGAAGGTAGTTATAAATACCAGCTACAACCATGTGACTAGTTACAGAAATGCAGACTGTATTTTCACAATTATATTCTCCTTATTTTGTTATGAATACATTTGTCTGTAACATATTGAGCAAATATCTTTGCTTTCTTTCCTCTCATTCCTTTATCATGTATCGACTTTGTATAAATATTTTAAATTTTACATCGTAGTATTTAAGTTATAAAATATCAGGAGGAGAGTAAACATCACGCAGGGGCTTTATCTCCTCTTCTGGAAAGGAATTAGGGCACCTTTGGTTGTATGCAGGACAGTTATATCACTTTAGGCAGAGTTATGACCTTTATTTGGAGATTAAGTATGGCTTAAGGAGATGCATATGGGTGCGAAGTTGACAAGGGGGAGACTTGTCATGGTTAATTTCATGTGTCAACTTAGGGATGTCCAAATGTCTGATAAAACATGATTTCTGGGTGTGTCTGTGTGTCTTGGGAAGAGATTAGTATTTGAATCATTAGACTGAGTGAAGGAGAGACTACCCTTACCAATTGGAGTGGGCATCATTCAATCTTTTGAGGGCTTGAGCAGAACAAAAATGTAGAGGAAGGTCAATTTGCTTTCTCCTATCCTGGGACACCCACTGGCACTCCTGGTCCTCAGGGTTTTGGACTCAGATTGGGACTTACATCATTGGCCCTGCATTTCTCAGGCCTTCAGACTCACACTGAATGACGCTACCAGTCGTTTCCCGGCTCTCCAGCTTGCAGATGGCAGATCTTGGGACTTCTTTGCCTCCAGAACCATGTGAGCCAACTCCTTTAATAAATTTCCTCATCCCTCCCACCCCCCATCTATCTATATAACTCCTATTGCTTCTGTTTCTCTGGAGAACCCTGACTCACACATTTATATTATTGTAGCTTCTTCTTAGATTTACCTTTTGCACTATGATATGTTCTTCTTTATATCTACTAATGCTTTTTGTGTTAAAGTCTACCAAGCTTTCTTTAGTTTAAAGTTCCATGGTATATCTGTCTTTTACTTTGAACCTTTATATAACTGAAATTGTCTTTTTTTTTTTTTGTGGTATGTGGGCCTCTCACTGTTGTGGCCTCTCCCGTTGCGGAGCACAGGCTCCGGACACGCAGGCTCAGCGGCCATGGCTCACGGGCCCAGCCGCTCCGCGGCATGTGGGATCTTCCCGGACCGGGGCACGAACCCGTGTCCCCTGCATCGGCAGGCGGACTCTCAACCACTGCACCACCAGGGAAGCCCTGAAATTGTCTTTTATAAGCAGCGTATAGTTGAAATTTTTTTCCAAATCTTTTTTTTTTAATTTTTATTGTTGTCTTTTGATTGGTTATGGACCATGAGACTATAACACAACCACACACCATTGCGGCTTAAAATATAACAGTGGCCTTTAATCATGGTATTGCATGTATTATACACTTTCCTTACCTCATGCCTACTCATTAACAGAGTTAATGCTTACTAACAGAATTAATATGAGGTAACTTTAAAAATAAGAAATATGTAATACAAAAACTCATAAACATGCATTCCTTGCAAATAAATTATTTGTGGTATTATGTTATATATGAAAACTTTTATCTTTTCTTGACAGATGAAAGACATAATGCACAGGTTTTGAATCCCAGGTAATTAGGCAAGGCATGTACGTTTTCTTTTCCATTTTTCCTGTCCATCAGAGATAATTACTCTGGTAGAATAAATAAAGGGGGAAAAGTCACCTGTATGATCAATCAAGTTAAAAATGATGATTAATTCAACAAATGGCATGAGGGTACACTTATTTTGAAGTAGAGTTCTATCATGTATCAATAATTTATTTGTAACCAACATTTTGAATACACAAATGCTAAAGAATTAAGCATTATTAGAAAAAAAGAGAAAAGATAGCACTCTAAGACATATTTTAGGTGACAGATTTACCATGTCTATGATATAGCCTCAATTTGATTTTTATTATATGCAGCTATATTACCATCTTCACTTAATATACATTTATATTATTTCTATCTATCTAATACATTGAATTTTCTGTTTGTCTGTTTCTTCCTCTCATCCTAAAATAGTTGATACTTACTGTGATACCATGGATTCTTTGTTTTCCAGGCTAGTCTTTGGTCTCACTCTCACTTTCCACTTGCCTGTGTATTTAAAAATAAAAATAATCATTTAAAATTGTATTTTCCTCAAAGATGGTTCTACAAAACTCTGTACCATTTATCAGTATTGAAATAGTTTTGAATCCCTATCTGAGATCTGGGAGCAGTCACTACTTAAGAATATCTTACCACCGAGAGCACCTCTTAACTGGTAAGAAAGACTAATATGGGAAAAAGCAAAGTAATATAAGTTTATCTGGAAATGAACTCAGATCATATTTATATCCATGACATTATTAGCTAAATAGTTTTACACTTTTTTTTACCATTCATATTCTGCCCAGTTTTTCCACAATAAAGTCATCTAATATAAGAAAATTCCTTTAATATGTTTATATATTATCTGAATTATGTGACTATTTTATGTGTTACATATTACTTCAGCAATTTTACATAAACTTTTCAAAATATTTCTGTGAAATATATTCTCTTTTAATTAGTATTATCTTATCAACTTCAAATACTTCAATAAAATTCTTTAAATATTTGAATAAAATTCATTTCATTTTAATTAAGATGGAGGTCATAGATGTAAAACTCAAAGGCAGAAATTATTTTATAGCGATTTCCATGAAAGGAAATAAACCAATTTTAATATTTATTTTATTCTTGAAGCATATTTTCAGATATTTATAAGGTTATTTAATTTAAAAAAGTTTTTTCTGTAGATTAGCCATGGCTATATCTAGATTTTTCAGTTTTACTATTATATATTAATTTCTAACCTTTTCCAACTCTGCCTGCCTCTCAATTTATTTAAGTGCCTTAAAGCTTAACTACTCTCCTAAATTTCCATGCTATGTTTTAATAAAATAGTGTATGCAAAATTCTTTGAAATATATAAATATTAAAAAGTAAAGTAATAATATTTAATACATATTTAATAATTAAGATCAAATAGTAAAAGGAGGTAGATAAACACTAACTAGAAATCATTTCTACTTAAATTTACCCTTAACACAGTCCAAGTTATTTTAAGATTAAAGAAATTTATTATTCATTATATTGATCATTAATATATTACATATTAAATTTCCATATAAAGATAAATATATAATCGGAATTATTACTAGTTATATCACCATAATGTTATTTATTGATAAGTTACTATGTAGGCCAACTAATTACAAAAGTAATGAATCTTAAATATGAAATTAATATACTCATCGCTTGTATAGTCCTCAGTTCTCCAATTTTCATTTTGGAAATAAACTTTTACCAGTGTAGCAATCAGTACACAGAGAATAATGAAAAAAGGAATGAGTAAGAAAAATGGCCATCTCGTAGGTGTGGAATAGTAAACATTCTCAATATAGTGCCTGTCTAGGAGAGAAAACACCAGTGATTTGAAAGCAATTACCAGGAATATAGCAAAACCATTTCTGCATTTTAATATGACTATTAGAATAAAATGTTTAAACATTTAATAATTTTATAATTAACATATTTTATATGAAGTGGATAAGTTGACATCATAAGTGCTCAAAGTTAGACTCTTCTCTTACATAATAGTCCTATATTCCTTGCTTGTTTATTAAGAACCTTCTATTCCATGTAGTCTCTTTTCAGATCTGTCTCATAATACAGACGAAAGAGATTATAGTGTGATCCCAGGAAGAACTGAATTTTCCCTCAATACTCAATTTTTTTTTGTAAGAAATATTGCATATGTAATAGCATTTCAATGAAGTCCAAATTCTTTTCTTTTATTGCATTGGTATTTATTTTCATGTTTCATCTAAGAAATTAATTGCTTAGCTCAAGGTCATGTAGACATTTCCTGTGTTTCTTTCAAGAATAGTTTTAGCTTTACATTTAGATTTATCGTCTATCACACATGAATTGTGAAGTAAGTTGTAATTTTGAGATTCATTTGGCCTTATGTGGATATCCAGTTGTTAGAATACAATGTTTTGAACTCACTTTCCTTTCCCGTTGAACTATCTTTGTACTTTTCTTGATTACTGTAACTATATACTAAATCTATATTATTCTAAATTTAATATAAGGCAAATAGACTAAGTTGTCCTTCTTTGTTGTACTTTTTCAGAGCTCTTTCGCTATTCTAAGCACTTCTGTGTGTATTTTAGAATCAAATTGTTGACACCTAAAATGTTGCATGCTTTTATGATTGGTTATTTTTATCTATAGATTTAATTTGGTGAGAATTGACATCTTGGCAATAATAAACTTTCCAATAGGTGAGCATGGCATATTTACTTCTATGTTTAGCATCTATCTGCATTTTTGTTTTAGTTTCAGTCTTGCACATCTTTTGTTAAACTTATTCCTAATATTTTATATTTTGATAGTATTGTAGATGGTACTGATTTTAAGTTGGTTTTCATTTACTGCTGCTAGTATATAGCAATACTATCCACTTTTAAACATTTCCTTTGACCTTTCGAAAGGTTTTTATTACTTCTAGAAGTATTTTTGTAGAGTCCTTAGGATTTTTGATGTAATTAATCATATCATGTTCAGTCTAATTTCATCCTTTCTAATCTTCATGCTCCTGATTTTTTGTTCTTTACTTATTGCACTGGCTATGACTTAGGGTAAAATATTGACATGGTGAGAGCAGACTTCATTGCCTTGCTCTCAAATTTTGGAAAAAACAATGTATTTTATCATAAGATATATTGGCTAAAATTTTTTTGTTGATGCTTTTTATCATATTGATGAAGTTTGCTTCTGTTGGTAGTTTGTTGCCTTTAAAAAATTCATAAATACGTGTTGAATTTTGTCAAATGACTTTTATGCATCAAAAGAGAAAATGATATACACTTAAAAAATTCTTAATTTGGTGAATTGCACTGATTGACTTTCAAATGAATGCTTACATTTATGTTTATGAAGTATATTGTTCTGTAATTTTTTCTTTGTTAACTTTCTTTCTGGATTTGGCATCAGGGATATGTTTTCCTCATACAGCGAGGTGACAGGAGTCACTTCACTGCTACTTTTTAAAATGGTATTTCTTCCTTGCAAAAACTTGCCAGAATTAACCTGTGAAACCAAATACATCTGTATTTCTTGTTGCTGTTATTTTTGTTGGTGGTGATTTTCAAAAATCACAAATGCACACATCATGAAGTTTGGGCTTCTGATTTCTTGGTTATACCCTATGATTTATAATTCCTTTTCCATAAGGAGTAGCCCTTATAACACTTTTTACATTAGAGTAGCTTTATCAGTCTACTTTTACCCATAATTGATTAGGACTTGAAGAACATATGTATTATCTTGACCGTTTTCAGTCTGACTGAGGTAATTCCTTAAAAATGTATGGATTTCTTGTGTATTAAATAAAAAATACACCCCATTAAATGAAACCACACCCACAAATCTTTTTAACATAAATCTGTCTATATTGGACTCTGGTGAGGCTGCTATAAAATAACCTATTTAACATTCATAGTAGCCTTACTGTTTAAGAGTTTTTAAGAGGCAGTCCAGTACAATACTTAGAAGGCTTTTTGTATATTGATAGATGAAGGTGTCTAAGAGGCATCACTTTAAGTTTTCCTGAGGTCTTAACAGAGGGGTTTACATACGCTTGACAATTTTTATCTGAGATCAAATTTTATTGCTCAGTATCTCAAATTTAGCTGTTAGCCATTTCTCACTTTAAGAATGTTTTGCTGGAAGAATTCAGGAATAAAAATTAATTTTATTTTCAAACCAAATAAATTCTAGCTCTTTTCAAGTAAAATAGACATTTTACTTGAAAACTGAACTGTTCCTTTATTAATAATTACTATCATCTTATATTTTATCATAGGTAACTTAAGTCACCCAACTTGGAAATCTTGCTGACCAGAACCATGAATTCTACTTTCCACATTACCACAGGCAGCAAGGATGCCACACAATTCACTACTTCATAATAAATGTCCTCATTTCTCCAACTTCTAATAACATGTTTTTAAGCTGTCTTTGAATTGCTCACCAACAGTCTTCTTGAGACAATGTCAACATATATCAGTAGTCATCAACAGTTTCCTGTTCTACCTTCCATGCACCACCCAATTCCAAAGCTAATGGCACATGTTTTAGATTCTTGTTATATAAATATAAATGCACCATCTGGTACCAAATCGTGTGTGTGTGTGTGTGTGCAGGGAGAGAGAGAGAGAGAGAGATTGTGCAAGAAAGTATCCCTAAATTTGGTAACTTAATCTTTTAATTTTGTGTGTCATGAATTTGGGGAGGGCTTAGTTGCATGGTTGTATTTTTATTTTTATGTCTCAATGTAGTCAAATTTCATATACAGCAGATAATTTTCAACAGAATGAGTGTTCCAATAATGAGAGTTCGAAGCATTAGTATTCTAAAAAACCCAATCAGAATCTGCAGCAAAACCATGGAAGTCTCAGAATCTCACTTCTGTATATTTTACTGCTCAATCACGTCACTAAAACCAACCTGGATTCTAGGAAACAGTCTTCTTCTCACTGGGGAAACAGCATGCATGTGCATGGATAGAAGCACTTAATTGCTGTTAATTTGAAGATAAGCTGACCGTTCCCACTAACATAGAAATAGCTTGGTGATACATAAGTATGTTATAATGTTTTTTACTTAATCTATTACTGCATGGTCTTAAATACTATATTTCAAATGCTGGAATGAATGTGGAAATGTTACGAACTAAGTCTGGCTCAAAATCTGCTTGCTTTGATTTTCTGTAAATATAGGGGTTTTTTTTTGTTTTTTGTTTTTGTTTTTTTTTGCGGTATGCGGGCCTCTCACTGTTGTGGCTTCTCCTGTTGCAGAGCACAGGCTCCAGACACGCAGGTTCAGCGGCCATGGCTCACGGGCCCAGCCGCTCTGCAGCATGTGGGATCTTCCCGGACCAGGGCACGAACCCGTGTCCCCTGCATCGGCAGGTGGACTCTCAACCACTGTGCCACCAGGGAAGCCCTAAACATAGGTTTTTATATAAAAGAAATCTAGTCCTAAGCAACACTGGATCTGCCAGCTTGCTCTAAAATACATCTCTACTTTGAACCAAAATGTGTCGAAAATTATATTTCCTAAGCTCCTTAACCTTTGGTCTTCTAGTTAGATTTGGCTAATGGGATTCACTGGATAAAATTTGGAGGGCAAGAAGACAGAAATTGCCATGGTATTTAACCCTCTCTGTCTCCAGCATCTGCAATTGTGTCCCTGTATCCTCTACACCTTCACCTCATGCTGGAGAGTACCTCCAACCTGTGTTCTAGACCCTAGTATATAGCCCTGACCACAGTTACATGTCATGTGAGATGGCTTAGATTCTGGTTCTAGTAATAACATCTCCATTTATTGTGCCTTTAGCCCTAAGAAGTGGTAGTGGATTCCTGTGTTGCTAATCTCTGGTTGCCTCACTGTTCTCTGATTGGCTTTTATCTCTGCCGTTATGTGTTACCCCATGCCTTGTATTGAATTCCTTCTGTATGAAAGGCTAAAGTGATTTCTATTTTCGTGCCTGGGCCTTCACTGACATACCTTATTTATAACATATATTTAATATGTTATAACACGTTAGTCTCTGGAAGGAAAACATAAATTAAATAGCCATATATGGTGTATTGTTTTATGTCCAAACATAATCTAAATATAAATTGGTAGACAAAATACTTATTTTATTAAATTTAATACATTAAAATGTTATTTTAATTATAATTTCAATTGAAATCAGTATCAATCAATACTTACCAGGTAGGCCTGGTACTGAGGGTGGAAAGTTGCCACTGTCAATACTCCCACCTTCCCATGACTCTAGTGAAGCTAGGCAATTTGGAGGTAAATATGTAGGGTTACAGTGACAGTGCCTTTTATTATTACATAGCTGAAACAGGAGAAATATCATAAATAGCTAAAATTATTTGTGTTCACTTAAAATTTTGAAATAATAGCTAGGTCAGATAAGGCTGCTTTTCTTACATGGTTTATGAATATGACTCTGTGTGTGTGTGTGTGTGTGTGTGTGTGTTTAGCTGTGCACTTGCTTTCCAAATATCAGCCTCAATGATTTCTATTCTTGTCTTATAGTGCTGATACTTACACCTTGATTGTGGCATTTTTCTGGAGTACAGTCGTAATTCAAGAATGAAGAATCTACACATTTCTTGTTTTTGCAAACCTAAAAAGGAGATATCCCAAAGTAAGTTAACTGTACCAACATCTGTATTTGGCATCTAATTAAAAGGATTCCTTATTATACTGACATAAGAGGTATTCATTTAATAATAAATATTAATATACTAACAATAAGTGATTAATTCATAGTGCTATTATGTTTTCAGCACTAGATGAGACTGATTATCTGAAAATAAATAAAACAATAAAAACATCTTCCCTGCTTATACTGGGATAGGAAGTACAGACATGAAATAAGTAACAGTAAAGGTAAATGTGTAATAAATACTATAATAAAATAGTTTTATGAAATAATAAAAACACAGAATTTATCTAATATATGAGGACAGTGAAACTTTTTTATTGAACTCTGATGTTGAACATGACTTAATCAAGCATAGAAATGAAAGACAAAGTACTTATAGAAAAAGAATAAGTATTCAGAATGACCCTACATCATATCTATTATGAAACTGTTAAGAAATATTTAGGGAAGTTCAGTTGTTACACAAAGAACAGCCATTCAAACATTAATTAACTAAATATTTGAGTCTTACGATGTGCCTGGCCCTGAGAACACAGCAGTGAACAACAACAACAAAACTCATGTTGCTCATATTGCAGTAAAAGATATAGAAACACACACACAACAAAAAATCTATACATGATGTGACAGAGGTTATTATGGAGGGTTTGTCTGTGTCTTATAGTCTTAATCAGAAAATTGGTCTATAACCTATAAGCAATTGGCGGTGTTTAGAGATTTAATTGGAAGATGGAAAGCTGATAAAAGGAGGTTTTGAAAAAGAGAATGTAAAAGGCAAGAGAAAATATAGAAAGACAAACTAGAATAACATTACAGTAGTCCAGAAAAATGACAACCATAGAGTGAAATTGAGTGGTAGTAGTGTTGATGAAAAACAGTGGTTGTGTTTGAGACAGAGTTAAATAGTTTGATCCACCTAAGTTTAGTGATAGATTGTATATAAAGGATGAAAAGAGAGATGGAGCAATGACACCAAGGTCTCTGGTATGTCTAACTTTCTTGGTTGTGGTACAAGTAATGGAATAAGAAAGCTAAGCATAAAGCTCAAAAGTTTAGAAATATTATTTTTTGAGACCTCTTTTTACTTGTAATATCAAATAATACTATGCACTTGAGATAAAATAAAAATTATTTTTAGGCACAGAAAATGTGAAACAATGTGATTCCACAAAAGTAACCAAAACCTGAAGCCAGCATTCCTCCCATGGTCATCAATGGCTAAGGATGTAGTATTTAAGTGATTATATGCACCGTACACCAGTGACAGAATTAAAAGCAGGTTTTACCAAATCCTGAAAAAATAATCTGGAGGGCAACATCAGCAAAATGGTGCACTAGGAAGTCCCAAGTCTTGTTCTCCTTTAGAGATCCTAGAAGAAGAAGATGAAGAAGGAGGAGGAGGGGAAGGAGGGGGGTAGGGGGAGAAGGACTGGCTAAAGCAACCCATAGGAGCTCTGGAAGCCGTCAGAGGTCTACTGCAGCTAAGCAAATGCCCAAACAAACAAACAAAAAGCCACAATCAAAATGTTAGAAAGTTTTGTAGTATTTTGCTCAAACCTTGTCCCACTACTTTTTGGGCATGCCATAGTCTTGGTCTGGAGGAGACAGCAGCTGAGTTTCCAATTCCCTCCCTTGAACTGAATGGAGTAGAGGACACCTTATTTTCAATATTGTAACCTGTCTGGGAACTGCCTGAAGACTGGTCTCTGTTCCACCTAATTCAGATCTCAGATGGACACTGCCCAGGAAAACTGCAGGGAAACTAAGACTTGTAGACATTTGGAGCAGAGAGAATGGGTGGAAACATACAATAGACCATCTAAGGCTCCAAGGCAACCCTGGCATGAGACTATTTGGAAAAACAAGACATTAAAAAACATACATGTATGTGGGGAATAAGAAAAGCCACAAAAAGACCCAGGAAAGATGCATATTCACAGAGATCTCAGAGACCACAAGCTTTCTCCTCAGGCTACTCCCAAGGCTCAGAGCACACCCAAGAAATTAGAAAAGGACTACACTGGCACGGAGCCAGACTGCAAACAGTGGGAGAAATGGCTGTTTTTCAAAAGTCCAGTTTTTAACCAAAAAATCACATGCTATAAAAAGAAACAGGAGAAAAAGGAGGAAAGAATATGCAATGGAGATAAAACAGTATCACCAACAAGTAGTGCTGGGAAAACTGGACAGCCACATGTAAAACAATAAGATTAGAACAATCCCTCACAACATTTACAAAAATAAACTCAAAATGGTTTAAAGACCTAAATGTAAGGCCTGTAACCATAAGACTCTTAGAAGAGAACATAGGTGGGATACATTTTGACATAAATTGTAGCAATATTTTCTTGGATCAGTCTCCTAAGACAAAAGAAGTAAAATCAAAACTAAACAAATGGGATCTAATTAAACTTAAAAGCTTTTGCACAGCAAAGGAAACTATCAACAAAACAAAAAGAAACCTATGGAATCGGAGAAAATATTTGCTAATTATGCAACTAACAAGATGTTAATATCCAAAATATATAGACAGCTCATTCAATACAATATCAAAACAAAAACAAAACAGTTAAACAATGGGCAGTAGACTGAATAGACATATTTCCATAGAAGATATAAAGATGGCCCACGGGCTCATGAAAAGATGTTCAACATCGCTAATTATTAGAGAGATGCAAATCGAAAACACAATGAGGTATCACCTCACACCTCTTTGAATGGCTCTCATCAAAAAGTCTACAAATAACAAATATTGGGGAGAATGTGGAGAAAAGGGAACCCTTGTACACTTTTGCTGGCAATGCAAATTGGTACAACCACTATGGAAAACACTATGGATGTTCCTTAAAAAAGTAAAAATAGAATTACCATACAACCCAGCAATCCCACTCCTGGGTATACATCTGGAAAAAAGAAAGACACTAATTCAAAAAGATACATGTTCCCCAATGTTCACAGCAGCACTATTTACAATAGCCAAGGCTCAGAAGCAACTCAAGTGCCCATCAACAGACTATTGCATTTAAAAATGTGGTTTTTAAATATATATATATGTATATATATATATATTTATAAATTTATATAATGGAATATTACTCAGCCATAAAAAAGAATGAAATACTGTTATTTGCAGTAATGTGGGTGGGCTTAAAGAAAATTATGCTTAGTGAAATAAGTCAAAGAGAAAGTCAAATACTATATGATATCACTTATATGTGGCAACTTAAAAAGAATGCAAAGGAATATATATATGCAAAACTGAAACAGATATAGAAAACAAACCTATGGTTGCCAAAGGGGAGATCAAAGTGGGGAGGGACAAATTAGGGGTATGGGATTAACAGATGCAAAGTGGTATATATAAAATAGATAGGCAACAAAGATATACTGTATAGCACAGGGAATTATACCCATTATCTTGTAATAACCTATAATGGAATATAATCTGCAAAAATACTGAATCACTATGCTGTACACCTGAAACTAACACAATATTGTAAATCAATTATACTTCAAATAATAAAAAGAGTTGATGGAAGGTTCATGAAAATGGAGAGTACTTATATCTCAGATTTATATGCCTTTGATTGATTTTTCCTTTACTCTGTGAATCCTTTATTATTTTCATCACTAAAATGGGCATATGTTACTTTAACTGCTATTTTAAGTAAGTATATCAAAATATAATTCATGACATTAAAAATACTCCCTGTGTAACATGAGATAATTAATAAAACAGTTAATACATATGACTTCCATGAAAAAAGTACTAAATAGCCAATGAAATATTCATAGTGATAATATCTCATTTTCAAAACTTTCTACTTTCTTATTTTTTGAAATTAAATGTGCACTTAAGTTATGAGAAAAATATCAAATATGCATTTAAAATTTGAAATTAGGAAATTAGTTGGTAATAAAAGACTACATACCTTATTTAGACCACAAACAGTTCCATCTTTTACCCACATGTTTCCACTGTCTTTATCATCATATGCATATTCCAGTCCAACGCAGATGTTTCCATCTATGTTGCTATACAAAACAGTGGCATTTGGAATATTAATTATAATTCCTTTGTCATATGTACACAGTAATTTTCCACATCGCACATCCCTATAATTTACCGACAAATAAAAATCATTAGTTTTCAATACAGAGAAATATTAGAATATCATTTCTAAAGCAAACAGATTTAAATAAAGCATTAAGGGCTGCTAAAAGATGTATGCAATTAATTGTGCAACACCAAAAAATATGAGAGCCTTTCCTGCATTGTTAATAGTAACAACATCTTAGTAATTTTGAACTACTTTCTATTTAGCCTTATCACTTTTTTGGTAACAATTCTTTATTCCTTTTTTGATTCTTAAACATGATTCCAAGCTTATTCTATTCTAAAAAATTAGTAAAATTTAAAAAATTACTGGTATGATTGGATTTCCTTTTGTGTTTTTCAAACATAATATGTACTCTCCACATCATGGGTCCCAAACTGACAAGACACTGAGGCATACACTCAAGAAGCAGTACATGCAATAAATATTAACGCTGAACCACTGAGATACATCACAACGATAGTGCATAAATCACAGACAAAATCATGAAAGTAACCAGAAAATAAAAAAGCATTAACAACAAAAGAACAGTAATACAACTTAAGACTGACTTTCCAAGAGAAATAATGGAGATCAGATTATTGAATGACAGACTCAAAGGTGAGACAAAATATCTAGTGTCTTCGCATTCTGTAGGTAGAGAAAATATCTTTCAAAAGGAAATATGGCATTTTCAGACAATAATTAATAAAATTTATCAATAGACACCCCAGACTAAAGAAAATGTAAACTGAGTTCTTCCCATGGAAGGAAATTTATCTTAGATGTAACTTGTAGAAGTACAAAACACATATAGCTTTATCAGATTGGGGAAGTTTCATTCTATTCCTAATTAGATGAGAGTGTTTATCATGAGTCAGTTCTAGGATTTGTGATACATCAGGCACAAAATAAATTGTGTAGTTAAATCTTAACAAGGTGGGTAGGAGAGAGAGAAGATATAGGTAAATTATCTCCCCCCAAATAAGTATAAAACTGTGCAAATTTGTCACAACAAACATTTCAGGGCTATGGAAACTGATCAAAAGCAAACAACGAATCGAGAAGCATTTATGTAAAGTTGCCATAAAATCAGTAATAATAGTGAAAGGCTGTGGTCCTCTTGCCTGGGTCTGCTCCCATACACTCTTTCAGCTGTCGTTTTACCAGGGCAAGGCTGGCCATTAAAACCAATAAATTCAGTGCCAGGGGGATCATCTTTGATTTGGTGCAGAGAGCAAAAAGTCTCACCCAGCAGCATTTTGAGTAAAAGTAGCAAATGTAGTAGGGAATGAATGTAAAACCAGCAGCACTGTTAGCCCAAGACTGAGGTCACAGTTGAGATTCGGGACGGAGTAGCTAGAAATTGGAGCCATGATTCTGGAGAGAGTGGTTCCATAAAGGCTGGCTGTCAGCTCTCCTTACATCACATCCCTAGCTGGCTGTGAGGCTCCATGTATGTGCAGGAGACTTTGTTATAAAGCAGAAACTAACACACCATTGTAAAGCAACTATACTCCAATAAAGGTGTTAAAAGATAATAAAATAAAATAAAGGGGGGAAACACAGAAGCTTCTCAAAGGACACAGAGAAAGCATTTCATAAAATCCAGCACTGAACCATGATGAACTGTCTCATCCAGCTAGGAACAGACAGAAACTTCCTCAAATTGATAGAGCTGTATGTGTAACCTACTAGTAGTATCATGGATAAAGTAGAAAGATTGAATGCTATCACTCTACAATCAGGAACAAAACAAACATTTCTGCTTTTATCACTTTTATGCAATGAGGCAAAGATTTCTTAGGTATTGTACCAAAAGCAAGATCTGTAAAGAAATGAAGGGATAAGTTGGTCTTCATCAAAATTAAAATCTTTTGATCTTCAAAAAGTTGTCATTAAGAAAAGATAGAATTAGATATTTACAATTCATATATCTGATAAAGATTCTATTCTGATACATAAAAGAATTTTCACAATTCAATAATGACAACAAAACCCAATTTAAACGTGGGCTACAGATCTACCAAGACATTTTACCAAAGAAGATATACAAATGCCTTATAATCACATGAAAGGGTGGTAATTTCATAAATCAGTAGGTAAATGCAAATTAGAGCCAGAGTAAGATACCTTTTTAGAATGACACACAAATAAACAAGGAAACAAAAAGTCATGACAATATCAAATGTTGGTGATGTAGAGAAGGATGTAGGGAAGCTAGAACTCTGATACATATTTGCTGGAAATGTAAAATGGTACAGTAACTCTGGAAAATATTTGGGAAGCTTCTTAAAATGTTGAACATATACCTGCCATGTGACCCAGCAATTCTACTTCTAAGTGTGCATCCAGGTGAAATTTTAAAATATGTGTCTGCATAAAGACTTGCACCTTCACACTTGTTATATCCCAAGAGAAACAAATACGTGGCTTTACAAAGCAAACAAACAAAATACTGCACAAGAATGTTCACAGCAGCATTGTTCTTGATTTTTTTTTATTGAAGTATAGTTGATTTACAATGTTGTGTTAATTACTGCTGTACAGCAAAGTGGTTCAGTTATACGTATATATATTCAATATTCTTTTCTATTATGGTTTATCACAGGATACTGAATATAGTTCTCTGTGCTATACAGTAGGACCTTGTTGTTTTATCCATTCTCTATATAATAGCTTACGTCCACAGCAGCATTGTTCTTAATGGCCTTAAACTAGAAACATTCTAAGTGCCCATTAAGTGGTACATAATTTTAAAATGTTTATATCCACACCATATAATATTACCCAGTAATAAGAAGCTACATACTACTGATATAGGCTACAAAATGGATGAATCTCAAAAACATAAGTAAAAGAAACCAGACAAAAAGATTACATATTAGAGGGCTTCCCTGGTGGCGCAGTGGTTGAGAGTCCGCCTGCCGATGCAGGGGACACGGGTTTGTGCCCCGGTCCGGGAAGATCCCACGTGCCACGGAGCAGCTGGGTCCGTGAGCCGTGGCTGCTGAGCCTGCGCATCCGGACCCTGTGCTCCACAACGGGAGAGGCCACAACAGTGAGAGGCCCGCGTTCCACCAAAAAAAAAAAAAAAAAAACAAAGAACAAAAAACAAAGAACAAAAAACAAAAAGGCAACCTACTGAATGGGAAGAAGGTATTTGCAAAGGGGTTAATATCCAAAATATATAAAGAACTCATACAACTCAATAAAAAAACAGCCTCCCAAAATCAATTAAAATATCGGCATAGGACCTGAATAGACATTTTCCCAAAGGCATACAGATGGCCAACAGGTACTTGAAAAGACATTAAACATCACTAATCATGAGGGAAATGCAAATCAAAACTGCAATGAGATATCATCTCACACCTGTCAGAATGGCTATTATCAAAGAGACCAAAAAAAAAAACAAGCATTGGTCAGATGTGGGGAAACTGTAGTAAACTGTTCGTATGAATGTAAATTGGTACAGCCAAATGGAAAACAGTATGGACTTGCCTAAAAAAAAAAAATTGAAGTAGAACTACCATAGAATCCAACAATTCCACTCCTAGATATTTATCTGAAGAAAATGAAAACACTACTTCAAAGAGATATATGTTCCCCAATGTTCATAGCAGTATTATTTAAAATAGCTAAGATATGGAAGCAACCTAAGAACCCAGCATTGGATGAATGGATAAAGATGTGAGATATATTTATATTATTTGTATATTATATATGTAATAGAGTATCACTCAGCCACAAATAAAAATGAAATGTTGCCATTTGCAAGAACATGGATGGACCTGGATAGTATATTGCTTCATGCTTCGTGAAATAAATCAGAGAAAAACAAATATTGTATGTTTTCACTTATATGTGGAATCTAAAAATAAAACAAACAAACAAATATAACAAAACAGAAACAGACTTACAGATACAGAGAACAAACTAGTGGTTACCAGAAGGGAGAGGTGTACGGAAAGTACAAAATGGGTGAAAGGGATTAAGAAGTACAAACTACCAATGGCAAAATAAATAAGCCAAAGGGATGTAACATACAGCATAGGGAATATAGTCAGTATTTTATAATAACTTTGCATGGTGTGTAATCTATAAAAAATGTTGGATCACTATGTTCTACCTCTGAAACTAATATAATGTTTGTAAGTACTTATACAGAAAATCATAAATATATGCAAAGTTTCCATTATGTATTACTCATACTAACCAATATAAAGTCAAAAAATTGCAATGCATGCCAAAAAAGTTAAAATGTGATATAGGTGCAAATAAAGCACTAGATATCAATATCCAAATGACCCAAATATTGCAATTAGCAGAGAAGCACTTTATAGCAGCTAATATAAAAAGATCAATGATTTAAAAGAAAATATAATCCTAACAGCTAGAAAGCTTCCTTTAGTCAGTATATGCTTTAGCAGTTATGAAACAAACTTTTGTGCTTCTGGGCTTGAGCATATGAAAAAGCAACTTATGAATGTAAGATGTAGTTTGTATATATTTGTGGTGTCTGGAAATAAAATTATCACTATAAGTTCACGTTTTAAAAACAGAGATATAATACGTGGATATAGAAATAAATGTGATACATGTATGTTCTAGCTTTGTTGTCTGAGAAGACTTAGAGGTAATGGAAAACGGCAGAAATAAGCACACCTGGTTCTCAGATGTTTACTAAATACTCTTCTCTACTAAAAGGAATCTGGGCTACTTAGAGAAACAGCTGAATCCAGAACAAGGGTAGGAAAAATATAACAGGGGCCTAGAACATCTTTTTTTGTGCTGGAAAAATGTGTAAGTTTTTAAAGTGTCATACAGACTTTTGAAAAGAATATTGTGGCCAGCTAAAAGAAACTCTCACTAGCTCAAATTGAGACAATTTGAAAAAGTAAGTGTTAAAATAAATGATAGTAATATATTCTATAATATTGAGTCAAATAACAATTGCTGTGTCTGAACTGACATAAATAAATACACAAACATAAATAAATAAATAAAAATAATACTTCTTTCTACAATACATTTCTAGCTTAAAGGGGGAGGCAATAATGGAGTTAGAAAATCATCAATGAACCTTAATACTAGTGGGTGAAAGTTCGAAGAAGAACAGAACATGTCCATGGTCTCAATATTAACTCTCCCCATATTAACACATTAAACACAAAGGAAAAGTGTAACTTTACAATAGAGACCTAAAGAAAATTAACGTTACCAAATAATTTAACTTAGAATATCCAACTTTGAGAGAAAATGGCATGTACCTTTTAAAAATTGCACTTGACGGTACAACACCACTTCAGTGGCAAGCTTGCCAAAATTTACGACATGAATCTAATGATGAAAAATATCAAACAAACCCAATTTGAGGAAAATATTACAAAATAATTGGCCTGTAGTATTTTTTTTAAAAAAAAAAAAAACAGGAAAAGAAATGGAAACAAAAAGAATGTTCTAGATTAAAGTTTAACAAACTCGTGACTCTGGATTTGCTCCTGAACAAGAAAAAAGACCTATAAATACTTCATTGAGATAATGAATGAAGTTTTATTGAGAACTGTGGTTGACAGCTACAATAGAGCCATTAAAAAAAATAAAAACCTTTGTTCTCAAGAAAACACAATGATTTATTTAAGGATAATGAAACATAGTAACCAACTTACATTCAAATGGTTTAGGAAAATCGTTTTGAAGGGAGGAAAGGAGAGGAGAGTTAGAAAAACAGAAGGATAAAGCAAATGCGCAAAATGTAAACCACTGAGTAAAAGCTATATGGGAAGTCTTTTTGCTATTCATGCAAAACAAGAAATTTTTTTTGCTATCAAACCAAGTTTGAAATAGTAACAAAGTAAAATATTATAGTAACAGTAGCATTCTAGTTCTAGTATATATAATTCTAGTTCTAGTATATATAATAATCATAGTAGTTAACAATTAACCCTCATATGTGTCAGTCCCATTCTAAGTGCTTTTCATAGAGTGTCTAAATTCCACACTGGCACAAGCCCAGTGACGTTAGTGAAATTGATATACATATTTTACATATCAGAAAAGTGAGGCACGTGTCCAAAGTCACACAAGTAGGTAAGTATTGGGATTAGTATTTGAAACCAAGATGTCTGCTTGTGGAGTACATGTACTTAAACACATTGCTTTACTTCCTGGATAGTAAAAATTCATGCATTTTTATCAGATCACTATGAAGAATGATCATCCTTTGTAAAATTAAAGTGACAGCATGCAAAATAAAACTGATCAGTCCTTCTAACTAATGGGTAATTAATGTAACTATATGTAAATTAAATGCTCTGTGGGGTGGAACAAGGGATAGTTTGGATGTGTGAGAAAGATAAGTACAGATATTCTGTACTTGAGACATTTATAATTTGATTAAATATAGTCTTCATGATCAAGTGACATTTCACTTACATGTAAAGTAAATTATCTCATGGTATTTTCAAATATAAAGCAATAAATAAAGTTTCTCAGATAGATTTCCTAGAACATACTTAGGATTACACTGTGTGTACCCTGAAGCATTAGAGCCACAGTTCCCAGATGGATCAGTCTTAGAATTAAGTTGATCAAAACACTGTTGAGTACCAAAACCTGAACCTGAAAAATAAAAATTTGTGGTTAGTCATATTGAACTTACATTAATTTAAAATAATTAATGAGTACACTTAAAATTCTGAGATTGTTTACAATATTGCACAAAATAAGAGCATAATACAAAATTGAAAATAAAACCTAGTTTTAAAATCACAAAAAAACTACTTCAGTGAAATATTTAAATATTGAAAGCATCTTGTCTACTATCCAAACAGATACCTTAGGATTAACTACAGTATGCAGTTTATCTTCTAATTTTTAGTAAGTCTAGAAATATATAAGTATATAAGAAACTTTTTTTAAACAAATAATTGACTTATTGGTCAATAGTGTTTTCATATAAATGTGTTTTCAAGACAAATCATTAAAATAACGTTTTTTTTATCCTAATTTCCCCAGACCAAAAATTCTTGGAGTCACGGCTGATTTATTTTCATATTTACTATTCAGTCCACACACATTACGTGTTTAATTCTCATAAGATTCAGTCTACTTAAAGAGCAGGTTATTTATCATGACTCAATTAATTCTACTCTAATGGGAGGACTGAGCCAAAAACTTTTGATAGGGAGATTTAACTGTGAAGAAAAATGACACAGCATAAGAGGAGGCCCTGTGGACCCATCAGGATCTCAGTTGAAAGTCTTAGAGGCAGTAGTAAACTGAAAATAAGCAGTTGATTTTCATCCCAGAGGTCACTTGGAAACATAGCTATGTGTGAGAAATCAAAATTATAAGCTTAGCTAGGGAAGCAGGCCATTGGACAAAAAAAGGCCAAAGTTGGAGGATCTTTTATGACTATAGTGATAAAATTAGAGACTCGGGGGCCTCAACATATAGTATAGTCCCCTCTTAAGACATTTTCCTGCTTCTAAACATGTGAAGAGAAGGAGATTAAAATATAAGGAGGTGACTTCCAGAAAGCAGAGCATATTTTTCTGCAGTTTCTGCATTGTGATTACATACCTGCCAGGGGAAGGAGTCTCAGTAAATATACGATCTCTCAGTTGAAAGCCCTGGAGAGTTATGCCCTAGAAACAAGAGTGAACTAGATATAGACTGAACCTAATCAAAACTCTAACTAAACGTTAACAATTATTGGTTTCTGGTTTAATAAAAGTGATTAGTCTCTTACTTCATATACTTAACAGAAGAAAAAGATGGATGTATCTATATAAGATTGCAGTGTCTATATGAGAGAAGCATTTAGAATGAAGACACAGTTTCTGTAAGTCAAAAATTGAAGAGGAAGACAGTGAAAAAAATTTTAACTAGGAATATGCCTTTATGTAAAATATTCAAGAAAAGATATAAAATAGAGACATCTACATGTAATTGAGTAGGAGAACCATGGTACATATATACTAAAATTAATTACAAAGGATATAAATCTTCAAGAAGGCAAGGTATCAAAAATAAATAAATTGAAATAATTATGGAGAGACAGTTAAATATAAACATAAGCTGAAAGTTAAAAATCTGTATAATAATACAGTATGTACACCACAGTTCCAAGGCACTCAGGAACACTAAGCAGAATCACGTGCACGCACTCCACACAAACGCACATTCAAACAGATGATATGAGGACTGCTACAAACCAAAGACCAAAGAGTGTCTTCATGGCTCAAAGAGAAAAGAGACACAACATGACGGATTTTTCGTCAGAAATATGAAAGCCATATGACAGCGGAGTAACCTCTTTAAAATGCTGATGGAAATAGAGGTTCCAATTCAAGATGGCAAAGTAGAAAGATCCCGAACTCACAACTTCCCACAAATACACCAAATCTACAGCTACATATGGAACAATTTCCGGTGAAGAAAACCTGAAAACTGGTGGAGTGACCACTTCACACTGAGCCAACAAGAGGAAAGCCACACTGAAGCAGGTAGGCAAGGCTGAGACACCACCTTGCTGGAAACCCATCCTGGCAATGGCGATCCACAGTTGGGAGGGAACTCAAAACGTGGAGCTCCTCCCTGGGGGGTGAAGTGTTTGGCTCTCAAATCAGGCACCACAACTTTTAAGACCTGCGCCAGAAAGATGAGCCCCTAAAACCTCCAGCTTTGGTAACCAACAAGCACTCATGTCCACGAGACCCACAAGGCTATAGAGAACTGTGAAATGCTTCTGATGTGTGGTTTATGCTCAAGGGTCCTACAAGACTGTAACTACAGGAGACAGAGTTCTTAACTGGCTACCACACCCAGGGCACAGCAAGAGGCAGCAGTCAGAGGAGCCCAGTCTTTCTGGGTAAGAGGCCTGTCAGCTTATCTCAGTAGCTGTGGCCTGAGGGGCAGGCTTCTAGTGAAACCCATGTCTAAGGACCTGCCCTAACCCTTCACAGAGACTTTGGTGGGTGAGTGCTAATGTCATGTTCTCACCCTGCCACACTCCAGAGTGCCAGTATTTCCCAGAGGGGAGCCTTTACATGCATCTTGTGCTCTGGTTTTTATGTGTGGTGCTTCTCAGGGACACCCCTAGATCACCTGGCTCTAGTGCCAGGGGGGGTTGCATTCCTGGGTCCCGTGGGCTGCTAACAATTAGAAGTTTTTAGCCCCAGGTCACAGCACAGGCAGCAGGCTAAAATGCAGGATTAGTCTTGCTGTGAGAGAGACCTCTTTGCTTTTCTGAAGCTCTGGCCTGAGGGGATGGCATCTGATTTGGGTATATAAAGATAAAATAAACAGGGTACAGGGAAAGATTCTGTTTCTCTGGTGGAATCCTGGCTGATACAGTTGTTAAGACAGAAGGCTCAGTGCTGTATTACTTTGGGGATATTTTCATCTTTCCTCAGTGGCAGGGTAGCCAAAAGCCAGCAGCCTTACAGCTAATGAAGAGGTCTGACCTATTTTGAGCTTTGTTAAAATCACCAGAGCACAGTCTGAACATTTTCCAAACTTTCACTTACCTAGAAGATCTCTGTTCCCGGGGTGATTTTGTTATTTGGTTTGAGTTAGAGCTCGGCTCAGTGGGAAAAAGAGCCTTACACTCAGGGAATTACTGAAATAATAGAAAGATGACAGCAACATTACAGCAGTTGAGGCAAACAAGAGCCTGCTGGGAGTTTAAAAGGAAACCTTGGAGAACTAGATGATCATAAGTGATGTTGAAAACTTAACACATAACTGGGTCTAAAAAGATGTACACATGCCAAGAACAATCCTGAGGAAGAGAAGTTCCCAGTCACTCTTCTCTGGATTATATTTAGGTCCTGAACAAGCAAGAAGTGAAAGCTATGGCGGTTTTGCAAACTGCCTGAAGCTTGAAGCTATCCTTGGCATAGGGTAGAAAATAAAGAGTCAAGGCATTGAAGGGTATCTGATGGGTTATTGGCTTGGCACTAAATTGTACTAATTTGGAGTTATCCCTAGGAAGCCTGGCTTAAAAATAAAAACAAGAACTTGGGAGAAAAAAAAAACAACAAACTATCAGTGGAACTATCAGAACTCAGTGGATGCACACAGCACAGAATACAGAACTGGAAAAATTCGTCCAGGAAAGTCACTAAACAAATAAGCAGATTAAACTATTACACTACAACAACAACAACAACAAACCTTAGAGAAATCTGAATCAAAATTGTTAAAATATATTGTCTAAAATTTCTAGTTTTTTAAAAAAAATTTACACTATATGCAAAAAAATGAAATTATGCTACATACCCAGAAAAAAAAAAGCCAACAGAAAATGTCCTCAGAGAGCCCCAATTTTGAATCCAGTAGACAAAGACTTAAATTAGCTATTACAAATATGTTCAAGTTACAAATATGTTCAAGTCACTAGGGGAAACCATCTCTTAAAAACTAAATGGGAAATACTAATAGAGACTTTTAAATAAAAATGGGAACCATATATAAATTCTGAAGTTGAAAACTGTATTAACTAAAATGAAAAACTTCACTACAGAAATTTAAAAATCAATAGATTTAATCTGGCAGGTTTTATTGACCTGAAGATAGGTCAATGGAGATTATCTAGTATGAGGAAAGAAAGAAAATCAAATGACAAAAATAGTTTCATGGACCAGTGGGACAACATCAAGCGTATGAAATATTGGCCTATAGGGATTCCCAAACTGAGGAAAAAACAGAAAAGGGCAGTGAAGTATTTTAAGAAATAATGACTGAAAGCTTTTCAAATTTAATGTATACCTATATCTATATTTTTACAAGAAGATTTCTTTAAAAACTCCACATGGAATAATCTTAAAGAGATCCACAGATCATGGTGAAATTGATTCCACTCTTCATTAAAGACAAGGAGGCCAGGTGACAGTAGGCTGATATCTATAGAGTTTTGAAAGGAAAAGACTAAGAATTCTATATTTGGCTAAACTCTCCTCAGAAAATTAAGGGAGAAATGATAGCATTCCAAGATAAACAGAGTCAGGGAGAACTCATCTTTAGCAAACCTTTCCAGCAAGACCTACTAAAGTGCATCCTTAAGGCTGAAATCAAAGGACACTAGGAGGTAACCAGGATCTACATGAAGTAACACAATGCTAATATAGTAAATTATCAAATAAAGTAAAAGAAAATATAATAGATAGTATAAACATATCTATTGTTTGGACTCTCTTCTATAGAATTTAAAAGATAATTGCATAAAAACAATTATTATAAAACATTTTCACTAGACTTACATAAAGATGTAAGATGTTTGACAGAAATAGAACAAGGGATGGGAAAACAGAGGTATATATATGCTTTTTGTTTACTTTTGATATTAAGTTAATATTAATTGAATGTCTTAAGATAGTAATTGTAACACCTAAGCAAACCACTCAGAAATAACTAAATATATATAGTAAAAGAAACCACAAAGAGATTAAACTATTACACTAGAAAATATCTATTCAATACAAATGAAGAGGTTATTGAGGAATAGAGGGTAAAGTATAAGATATATTGAAAACACATAGCAAAATAGCAGATGGAAATATTACCTTACTTACATGAATAGATTAAACACTTCAATCAAAAAGAAGAGATTGACAGAATGTATTACAAGACATGATCCAACTATATGATGGTTGGAACAGTTAGGCGGGTTGGGCAAGGCAGTGATCACCTAAGTCCAATCAGGCAATTATATGGGCCAAGGCTGATGTACAGTTTTATTCTGGATTCACCTCGTTATCTTGGGTGTGACCCTTGTACCCTGCCAACTGAGAGCCTTGCAAACATTTATCTTCTCTTCACTGAAAGTTTTGCCAGGGATAACCCTTTAGTCTCAGCATAGCTTCCTGGCCTACCAACACAGGCAGTTCAAAATGTAGTAAAAGGGGGCTTCCCTGGTGGCGCAGTGGTTGAGAGTTCGCCTGCCAATTCAGAGGACACAGGTTCGTGCCCCGGTCCGGGAAGATCCCACATGCTGCGGAGCGGCTGGGCCCGTGAGCCATGGCCTCTGAGCCTGCGCATCCGGAGCCTGTGCTCCACAACGGGAGAGACCACAACAGTGAGAGACCCACGTACAGCAAAAAAAAAAAAAAAAGAAAGAAAATGTAGCAAAAGGTTCTGGAGGAAGACTAAGATTTTTTTTAAAGGTAAAATTCCTCTACCATTTGGTCTTTGATCATCTTGTGACTACAAGAAAATTCGTAATGCCTTGTAAATTTTTTTTTTAATCTATTAAATTGACCAAGTTTCTGGGCAGCGTTTAAGTTCCAAAGATGCAGACACCTCATGGAAAAATAGCCTATGGTTTTGACAGCCCCTCCCCTTCAATTCCAACTGCTAAAACTTTTCTAGTTTATCTTTCTTTTTTCTTGAAGATCTCTAGCTAAGCCAAGCTTGATCTTCAACTTTCAGAGTCTGCATATGTCCCTAGGAACATAAATGGCTGTCAGTTGTTCCCTAAGATAGGCAAAGTTTCTATCCTGCAGAGATTTAAATTAATTGTCTTTGGTTTCACTGTACTCTAAAGCCTTTAAAAATATCATCAATGCAATACACCTTGATTTTTCTAGTCATTTTCTTGTAGTTGCATCGTCACTTCTTGCTACATCCTTTCCCTAAATTGAATATTTAACACAGGTTTTATATTTAATGTAATTGCTAAATATGTAAATATCAATACATATTACTATTTATTTTCATATCCTTTGTTCTTTTATTTACTCTGTTCTTGCCTTCTTTTGGGTTAATCAAATATGTTAATTGCTTTTGTTTTTCTCCCCTTTATTAGTTTTTAGTTTCTAATTATTATATTATTCTTCTTCTGTTTATCTTAGATTATAAAACAAATACTTGACTTACACCAATTCTTAATTTCTCTGAGTGCTTTCTTTTATTGGAATGATTGAGTTTTGTTTCAGTTATTTTTTTCCTGGTGATACTATCTTTTTCTATTTTTATACCTCTAGAGGTTAATATATTTTTGACATATTAATAGCTTCATTTCATAATATCCTTTGTCTATTCTAATATATATAAAGATATGTATGTTAGTCAGTTTCCAGAAAAAAATATATACAGAAAATCAAATTATGATAAATACCTTCACCAAATATTTCCAAACATTGTTTTATCCCGTTCATACATTTTCCGTTCACACAGATCCATTGATTCTCTGCACATGGATGCCCATCCTGAACATAAAGGTCTTCTTGACATGCTGCAGATGTACCATTGCAATATTCAGAGAGATCACATTCATCAGTGGAAGCCCTACACACTTGTCCTTTTGCTATAAACTGGTGGGGTGAAGTAAATGATATTGAGTACAGCAGAATGGGAACATTTAAATATTATAAAAAATGATAACATTACTAATGTAGGTAATACAAAATTTTTAAAAGGCTCTTACAGCACAAGCATTACAGCACGGTCCAGTAGCACAAGCTGACCCAACATTGAGTCTACATGTGGCTTGGTTACAGCATGGGTCTGGCAGAGCTGCACAATCCTGAAAGGCAAATCAAATGCTCTGAAGTATGTTCCAACTTTTATTTACATTAAATAGATATTTTAATGAGGACAACATATTATATAATATACAGACTGATGCTTAACTTAAATGTTGGCAAACAGAAAAAAATAAAACCACTTATTCATTCATTTATTTAACATTTATTGGTCACCTAATGTGCTAAACCCAGTGTTCTTTATATCAGTAGGTTTGACTATATTCGTAGTAGGATTTTCTGAAGTCCCAGAGTCCACCAAAGCCAAGACATCGATAACCATAAGTTTATTTGCAGGGGTCGGGGGGAGGGATAAACTGGAAGATTGGGATTGACACATGCACATTACTATCTATAAAATAGATAACTAATAAAGACCTATAGATAACTAATAAGGACCCTCTATACCCACTTTGGTAAGAGTTTTTATCATGAATCGATATTGAATTTTATCAAATGCGTTTTCTGCATCTATTGAGGTGATCATGTGATTTTTGTCTTTTCTTTCGTTGATGTGGTATATCACATTAATTGATTTGCGTATGTTGAACCATCCTTGTGAACCTGGGATGAATCCAACTTGGTCGTGGTGTATGCTCTCTTTTATGTGTTGTTGGATTTTGTTTGCTAGTATTTTGTTGAGAATTTTTGCATTTATATTCATCAAAGATATTGGCCTATAATTTTCTTGTTTGGTAGTGTCTTTTTCTGGTTTTGGTATCAGGATGATGGTGGCTTCATAGCATGACTTTGGGAATGTTCCCGCCTCTTCAATCTTTTGGAAGAGTTTGAGAAGGATCAGTGTAAGTTCTTCTTTGTAAGTTTGGTAGAATTTGCCTGTGAAGCCATCTGGTCCTGGACTTTTGTTTGTAGGGAGTTTTTTAAATTACAGATTCTATTTCACTTCTAGTGCTTGGTCTGTTCAAATTATCTATTTCTTCTTGATTCAATTTTGGTGGGCTGTATGTTTCTAGAAAGTTGTCCATTTCTTCTAGGTTGTTGAATTTATTTGCATATAATTGTTCATAGTGCAACTCTCCTATGGTTTTTTGTTGTTGTTGTTGTTGGATTTCTGCACTATTAGTTGTTATTTCTCCTTTTTCATTTCTTATTTTATTTGGGTCCTCTCAATTTTCTTCTTGGTGAGGCTGGCCAGAGGTTTGTCAATTTTGTTTACTCTTTCAAAGAACCAGCTCTTAATTTTATTGATTTTTTTCTATTTTTAAATCTCTATTTTATTTATTTCCTCTCTGATCTTTATTATTTCCTTCCTTCTGCTGATTTTAGGTTTTGTTTGTTCTTCTTTTTCTAATCTCTTTAGGTGGTAGGTTACATAGTTAATTCGAGATTTTTCTTGTTTTTTGAGGAAGGCCTGTATAGCTCTGAATTTCCTTCTAAAAACTGCTTTTGCTGCATCCCGTAGATTTTGTATGTTTGTATTTTCATTGTCATTTGTCTCAAGGTATTTATTTATTTATTTATTTATTATTTGTTTGTTTTTGCAGTACGCGGGCCTCTCACTGCTGTGGCCTCTCCCATTGCGGAGCACAGGCTCCGGACGCACAGGCTCAGCGGCCATGGCTCATGGGCCCAGCCACTCCGTGGCATGTGGGATCTGCCAGGACCGGGGCATGAACCTGTGTCCCCTGCATCGGCAGGCGGACTCTCAACCACTGCGCCACCAGGGAAGCCCTCAAGTTATTTTTTAACTTCCTCTTTGATTTCATCATTAACCCATTGTTTTTTAGTAGCATGTTGCTTAGTCTCCATGTAATCATTTTTTTCTCATTTCCTTTTCTGTGGTTGATTTCTAGTTTCATGCCATAGTGGTTAGAAAAGATACTTTAAATAATTTTTATGCTCTTAAATTTGTTGAGGCTTCTTTTGTGCCCTAGATGTGGTCAATCCTAGAGAATGTTCCAGGTGCACTTGAAAAAGCATGTGTATTCTGGTTTTCTTTGGATGTAATGTCCTGAAAATATCAATTAATTCTTACTGTTCTATTGTACCATTTAGGATCTCTGTTGCCTTATTGTTTTTCTGTCTAGAAGATCTGTCCATTGATATGAGTGGGTTGTGATACTATATATTGGAAACCCTAAAGACTCCACATAAAACTACTAGAACTGATAAATGAATTCAGCTAGGTAGCAGGAAATAAAATTAACATAGAGAAATCAGTTTCATTTCTTTACACTAATAATGAAATATCAGAAAGGGAATTTTTAAAAAATCTCTTTTAAGATAGCATCCAAAAAAAAAAAAAAAACTTAGGAATAAACCTGACCAAGGAGGTGAAAGACGTATATGCTAAGAACTATAAAATATTAATAAAGGACACTGAAGATAATTCAAAGAAATGGAAGGATATCCTATGCTCTTGGAAGAATTAATATTGTTAAAATGGCCATACTGCCCAAAGCAATCTACAGATTTAATGCCCTCTCTATCAAATTACCCATGGCATTTTTCACAGAACTAGAATAAATAATCCTAAAATTTATATGGAACCATAAAAGGCTCAGAATTGCCAAAGCAATCCTGAGGAAAAAGAACAAAGCAGGAGGTATGACCCTCCTAGACTTCAGACAATACTACAAAGCTACAGTGTGGTATTGGCACGAAAACAGACATATGGATCAATGGAAAAGAATAGGGAACCCAGAAATAAACCTACACACCTATGGTCAATTAATCTTTGACAAAGGAGTCAAGAATATACAGTGAAGAAAAGAAAGTCTCTTTGGCGAGTGGTGTTGGGAAAGCTGGACAGCCACATGTAAATCAATGAAGTTGGGCCATTCCCCCACACCATACACAAAAGTAAACTCAAAATGGCTTAAAGACTTAAATATAAGACACGACACCATAAAACTCCTAGAAGAGAATATAGGCAAAATATTCTCTGACATAAATCATAGAAAGTAATAGAAATAAAAGCAAAAATAGGCCTTCCCTGGTGGCGCAGTGGTTGAGAGTCCACCTGCCGATGCAGGGGACACGGGTTCGTGCCCCGGTCCAGGAAGATCCCACATGCCGCGGAGCGGCTGGGCTCGTGAGCCATGGCCGCTAAGCCTGCGCGTCTGGAGCCTGTGCTCCGCAACAGGAGAGGCCACAGTGGTGAGAGGCCCGCATACCGCAAAAAAAAAAAAAAAAAAAAAAAAAGACATACTAAGGAAGTGTATGCTCAAGCGGGGAAGTATAAACCTAGGTCAACTCACCTATAGCAGGGGACCAGTACTGGTCCATGGCCTGTTAGGAACCAGGCCACACAACGAGAGGTGAGTGGTGGGTGAGCGAGCAAAGCTTCATCTGCCGCTCCCCATCACTCCCCATCACTTGCATTACCACCTGAACCAACCCCCGCCCCCGTCCGTGGAAAAATTGTCTTCCACGAAACCATCCCTGGTGCCAAAAATGTTGAGGACCGCTGAGCTATAATCACCAGTATGAATAATCTACAAACTGCTGAATTCATATACCAATATTTAAGTGTACTCATTAATATAATCCCAGTATACATCCTTAAGGTCTTTGTTGAAAAGGAAGTTTGATAAATTAGGTAAAATGGCAGTGTGACAGTATAAAAATTAACTAATAATTTTTTATGTAATTCTGGTGTGTAATCTTCCAAATTAGTACCAACCTCCTGATCCCCACAGTCACATTGTTCTCCTTCTTCGACTTTTCCGTTACCGCAAACTGCCACTTTGTATGTTGAACCTAAACGTGGCTGGTTTTGAAGACACTGGGACTTTGACTTTGAAATAAAATGTGCAAAATCTTCCATACTGCAGTTACTAAAGATCTTCACACCACTGGAATGACTAAAAATACATCAAACATCAGACTTTTATGTAACTGTCGCTTCCGTAAATTGACTAGCCTCAGAAGAAAAGTCTATAATCTAATGATAAATATAGCTAATATAAAATTACTAAATTTTAAGGCAATAGACTCAAATTCTAGTCATGTGGATTATTACAGGAAAATGTTTTTTGCATGAGGACCATGAAAAACATTGGAAATTTTTGGACAAACTACCAATTTTGGTGTTTTTTGTGGTTGCATCCAGCTTGAATATACTCTTTAATTATATTAACCATAAATAATAGATTTATTATTACATTGCCAACAACTCAGATGATTTCTATCTAAATACCAGAAAACAAAAGGAGAAAAATTGATAGAACTTTAATATTATTGAGAACTAGGCAATGCAAGAGGTTTACTCTGTGTGAACTTGTTTATAGAGGGGTACACTTTCTGATAATGAATGTTGTCATTAGGAAGAGATTATCAATCATAATTATATCCAATTGGATAATTTATTTGCAGCTTGAATCCTTGCACATATTTGCTGGATGTTCTCATTCTCTATTCTCCCATTTTTCCTTGATAATAGAGCCTCTTATACATAACTTCCTTGTATAATACATTTAGCTTTTGTAAAGCTAGGAGCAGACCATTGGCCTTAAATGAAACCATAAATTTAAGTTATATGAAGTAATGTTTACAGCTGTGCTTTTATCTGCCCTTTCATTCTATTGGCAAGAGGCCCCAGTTTCTGGCCATATGGACCTCTATATAAAGTTACTAAACTGTCCTCACGATATGGCACCTAGCTTCAACCTGGGCACCTGATCAAAGAGAGAGTACAGAGAAATTTGCAAACTCTTTAATTATCTAATCTTGAAAGTCACACACCATCAACTCTACCATGGTCTATTTGATGAAAACAAGTCACCAAATCCAACCCATACTCAATAGGAGGGAAATTAAACTCTACCTCTTGAAGAGAGAAGTAGCAACAATTTGTGGATGTATTTGAAAACTACCATTCTCTTTTACTTTCATTTTACTTAAAATTTAAAAAAAAAAGCTATACTCTGTTCTATCTCAATGTATTTTATTAAACATTTTTTTCCTTAGTCATTGTTTCCAAAGCTCAGATATATTGCTACCTTCGAATGAGCCAAAAAAGCACAGTTTCATAACGACAACTTCTTTATCTAAAGAAACAAAGTTCCTAATTAAAATATTAAAATGTCAAAGAAAGTTGAAATTCGGAAACATATTAGGTAGCATGTCTGACTCGCTGGATACATAGACTGAATAAAACATGGACTACTGATTGTGAGCCCTCAGAAAAATGACAGTCTTTTGTAAAAAAAAATCAGTGTGGGCCATGTATTTTCTATGGATTACAGAAACAAAATAACATGTTAAACTCCTTAAGTACTTCTATTTAATAAGCCAAATTTTAAGGTTAGATTGAGGACACCTGCCTCAGAAAGGCATATGTCCTACTAGGACTCCGTCCTGTGCAAAATCACTGAATGTGATAGTGTCAAAAGGCATTAAAGATGAATAATTCTAGAAGATGTTTCCCACCAGTTTAAAGACAGCAATGAATCCTTTTCAAATATGCCCTCTTTATTCAGATTTTCCTTTAAATAGTAGATTTTCACATCATTTTTTTTGCCATTCAATGATGAATAAAATGTCTGTGTTGTCCAAAATTTTAGAATCATGCAATGCTATTCAAATGATGCAAAGCATTTAAAGATATGATTAATAAGCATTTTTTGCAAGATTGTAATTTGTCAAACTAAGCTTTTTAAAAAAGCATTTCCACAGATGAATGGTTTCTATATGTGTGTTAATAATTCCACCAATTTTATACAGGCCATAATTATATATTTTTAAGTGGAATTTCTATTTTTTTCATATCTACACAAGAATCAAAGTTATGTTAAAAAATTAATGAAAAAAATTTCAACATTCATTAGGATTGTAGGCCAAGGTTTTTGGTTGATTAAGGTGCTTTGGGGAGAAATTGGAAAGTGAAAAAAAGGCAAAATATTAGAGATAATATAAAAGAAATTAAATGTACTGTTAAATAAAATGTACTGTTGGGTTACAGTTTAAAAAAATAAAATAAATAAAAAGTATAAGAGACTGGGTCCAGTCACTGACTGGATGATGGTTTCCATAAATCTCCTGACTATTTGGTTCTAATTCCGTAAAATCTCATAGCATATTCTAAATACTGAGGATAATAGCAAAAACTTCAGTAGGCCTTTGAGGCATGATAACTGCTGCAAAACGCCTCCCTAATAAATCATTCTTGTATAACGAACACAAGCCCATACTTGGCTTATCAAATCATGCATTAAATTATAAAATCATGCAAGTAACAGTGATAAATGTAGAGGTAAGTCACATGAGATAGCAAGTGTGACATTAGATTACAAGAAATATTGAGATATGCAGCAGGGGCACTGGAATACATATTTTGATCTGGGGTCATTGGCCACAGTTTATATTCGACCATTAATAATTATTTTAATAGCATAGACTTTCATAAACAAAATACACCAAACTTATTTTCATATAAACTATATATGTAAAGCATATAAAAGCAAAGCATCTTACATTGCTTCTGGGTTCATTACGCAGACAGCTCCTGGGCAATGGCATTTGTTGATGTCATCATAAGTTATTCCCATACTAAGGCTCAGTAATTGAGCCATAATAACTGCAAGTGATTCCAGACTTATGGTTCTGGGGTGCTGGGGAAAAAACCATACATGTATACATTCACATTTTAGGAGATAATTTATTTACCTGGAGTATAATGTAATTATTAAAAATAGTCACATGATAAAATAGAATAGAGACATCAGATATGTTAATCACAGAAATGCCATCCATGTTGGCCTAATATGTTACAGGTACCATTATCAATATAAGGAAAATATGAAAAGTGAAGTGTGAAATTTTACAAAAATGTAAATGTATGGTTCATTTGGTGGCATCAGGCCAAGAACATATTTGTCCCAATAACTTGTTAATCATATATAACAATAGCTATAACCATGTTTGTACTCATAAAAGAAAGTCTTTAAAGACACACACATATACACACACAGTATCAATTATAAATGAACAGTTTGTGCTCATTTATAATTTAATTATAGGAGATAATATTTTATATGCTGTTTCATGCATTTAAAAAAACATAAATTAGCTCACTGAATTAATTTATATTATGATAATAATGACTGATAAGAATGCTAACTCTCCACAGTTGCTTAAACTTTATTTTCAAAACTAAATGCTTTTATCACTTTTTAACAAATGTAAGATGCTTATTATAGCACACTTAGACCATATTAAACATACGATTTTTAAGAAAAATCCACAAATCACAATAGCCCTTCAAATATATCTAATAACATTGATGACTATACTTCAGGATAGGTTCCTAGGGATATATTTTGGTATCTTCTGTTTGCCTCTGTCAATCAACTTTCCATTACTTTCCACCCTACTCTCCAGATCAGAAGGACTATACCAATGGATTATGTCAAAGGGTTCCTTTGCCCTCTGCTCTCACCTTGATTTGGTCTAATGGGGAGGAAAGGGTGAGAAAAGAGCAGGGTATTTATTACCATCACTTCCAGGGTACCTATGACTGTCTGAACCCTTGAGTAGAGGTTTCTACCTTCCATGTATAACCCTAATAAACTGACACTGTCCTTTCCTTCAAGCCTAGGGGACAATTACATATCTTTATTACTGAGGTAATGCAAAGTCCCTGCATCTTGCGTACACATTGATAAATGGTCCCTTTATCAAAATAACACAGGTGAATGTACCATCCATTTTCAGAGAGAGGGGTGGAGGAGAGAGGGGGAGAGAGGGAGGGAGGAGGGAGGGAGGGAGAAGAACAAAAAGAAGAGAAGGAGGAGGGGGAGGGGGCAAGGGGAGGTAGATGAAGAGGAGGAGGAATGCTTGATTCTATGGGGAAGAAAATGACGGATTCTGATAAATTTTGCACATTTAAATAATAGGATATTATAAATAATAATGTAATAAATGAGAGAATATTATGTTATCAGTGTAGTTATTCAGCTTTTCTTATCTTCAGGATATTGTAGGAAAGGCCTGGCAATCATTCAATCAATATATCTTTACAATTGCTTTTTTTTTTTTTTTTTTGTGGTACGCGGGCCTCTCACTGTTGTGGCCTCTCCCGTTGCGGAGCACAGGCTCTGGACGCGCAGGCTCAGCGGCCATGGCTCACGGGCCCAGCCGCTCTGCGGCATGTGGGATCCTCCCGGACCGGGGCACGAACCCGTGTCCCCTGCATCGGCAGGCGGACTCTCAACCACTGTGCCACCAGGGAAGCCCTACAATTGCTTCGTTTTCTCCGTCTCTCCTGTTCCTTATTATCACTCATAGCGCAGTAAGAGGGAAATAACAACATCCAAAAAATTTCATGTGATTTGTATAAAATCCCAATATGCAACTTTTTTATTCTTTATCTTCTGATTAGTGCATATGTTCTGGTCTCTCCTTTCCTTGTATCAAAGGATCAAAGACATGGTTTTGTATTTGAGATGGAATTTCTTTACACTCCCCTTCTGACACTCTTACTTCTATTAGTCATCTTGGGTTGCCCTCAAACAATATCACAGAAAACATTGCTCAAGGTGCCAGCAGGGTCAGTTTCTGGTGAGGTGTGTCTCCCAGGCTTCTGGAGGGCTGCCTTTGCCCTGCGTCCTCAGTGGCCCTCCCTCCTTGTGTGCTGGCTCCTCCTTTCCCCACAAAGACACCAGTCCTATTGGATTAGGGGCCCAGGCCTATGACCTGCTTTAACCTTAATGACTCCCTTAAAGGCCCCTTCTCCAAATACAGCCACACTGGGGGTTAGGGCTTCAGTATATGAATTTTAGGGGGACACAACTTTGTCCATAACAGACTAGTAAGAAAACCTTGAAAAATGTATGGACTGGAGTACGAGAATTTGCTAAAAGTTATGGTTATGACTACTTCTGTTATGAAAATAACGTAAGGGAAAATGTAAAATTATATTTAGCATTGGATTTTTAAAAATATTTTTAGAAAAAATTTACAACTAAGCAGACTAGTTTCTTTTGGTGAATAATGCCTGCTTAGGACAACAGTTGTCAAATAACAAGAACAGCACCTGGTGTTTGTTATGGCTTCTTATGTGCCAATCACTAGGCTGAGAAATTTCCTGACAAGTAAGTATTGAGATTCCTTTATTGTGTACCATGTGGTCATTTTCTATAAATGTGTCTGCCATGTATATGTTGTAGTCTCTAATTTAGGAATCAAGATTCTACATAGGCCTTTCAGACAAAGCTTATCAATAGTGTCTAAATTTTCTAAATTTTGTTCTGAGAGATTAATTATTGCTTTGTTTATTTTAGAGTTATTTAGCTAGGTACATATGAGTTCAGGTTTATTCATATAATGGTAGTCAAAGTATGTTTCATCCTAAATAATGAATCACTTAAAATTCATATTTATTTTACTTGAAAAACATTTTGCTGTTTTATGTTAATATTGATACATTAATTTTCCTTTGGTGACATAGTCTGTTCTTTTTCTTATTCTTAAAATTTCTGTAGCATTATACATGAGTTTGAAACTTATAAAGAGAAAACAACCTGATAATTTTTAATAGCTGAAATTAAAACTTTAAAAAATCTCTTTTGATTATTGTCCCTCTGAAATTACTAATAACATTTTATTCTGTATGATGGCTTCATGCTTTTTAAATAATTTATCTTAAGTCAAGTGTACAAATCTTAAGTGCCTTGATGCAGTTTTATATAAATATACATACACATACATATATGTATATATACAATATCTATATACACACATATACACACGCATAATTTATTTATACATATTATTTGTGCACACATATATACACACATATTTGTGAAGTGCATGTGTGTGTGCATGTGACACATACCTACACAACCACGACAGTGAATAAGATATAAAATATTTTTATCACTCAGGAAGTTCTCTCCAGCAAGTTTTCAGGAATTATCTCGCCACAAAATTTAACTTCTATTCTGATGTTTAGCAATATGGTTTATCTTTCCTACACTTTATCTTCAGAAAATGGCATACGAAGTAAAGATTCTTTTGTTTGTGGTTTCTTTTGCCCAACATACAGTTTTTGAGATCAATGGTGAGTATAACAGTACTTCTTTTTATTGCTTACATTATATGAAGCATTAGATGAAGCAATAAAAAGCACATGTTTATCAATTTCATGGGTAATCAGTATTGTTAAGGTGTCAAATCGACCTAAAGATTCAATTCAAAACCAAAGTCCGAGTAGTTTTTGTTGAAACTGACAAGCTGATTTTAAAAGAGAAAGTCAGAAAACCTAGAAAAGCTAAATCAGTCTGAAGAAGAAGTAGTAGGGCTTACACTATAATTTTCGATGATTTACCATAAAACTATAGTTATTAAGACAAGGTGGTGCTGGAGAAAGGAGACATAAAGCTGTCTATCTATGTATCTATCATCTATTCATCATCATCAACTCTATCTTGTACCTACCTTTTAATATTTAAGTATATATTTATGTTTCATTATTAGCCATTGTATTAATCAGGCTTCTCTAGAGAAACAGAATCAATCGCACACATACGATAAGGAATATTATACATGAAGAGGCTTATTATAAGGAACTGGCTCACACAATTCTGAAGGCTGGCAAGTCTAAACCTGCAGAGTGGGCTGGCAGCCTGGGCACACAGGAGAGCCGATGGCACAGATGAAGCCTGAAGGTATTCTGCTGAAGAATTTCTTCTTGCTTGAAGAGGATGGACTTTTTGTTCTATTCAAGCCTTCCACTGATTAGATGAGGCCAACCCACATTATGGAGGGCAAAGTGCTTGACTCAGATTTCACTGATTTAAATATTAATCTCATCAAACCCCTCCAAGTTGACATATAAAATTAACCACCACAAGCATGTCTCAAACTTTACAGGTTCAGGTTCAAAATGAAACTTTCTTCCACCCTTATAGTCCCCTCTGCCCCCAAAGCCAGCTGCCCTGCCTTCCTCTACCTAGCTTCTCAAGAAGAATGTTGAGCATAATCACTGATGTTTCCATGCCATTCATGGCATGTATCCAGTAACTTAGCAAGCCCTATATGTTCTGCTTTCATGATATATACCAGATAAAAGCTACTTCTCGCATATCCAAGAATAAAACACCAGTTAATACCATTCATCTGCAATTGTCTCCTATATGGTCTCCTTGTTGTGGATCCTCACCCCTCTACGATCACTTTTGTATAAGGTAACCAGAGAAATATTTCTCTCTGGCTTCAAAACTTCCAGTGCTTTTTCATTGCAAAGAGGATAAAATCCAAAACGATTTACCAAGATCCATAAGGCTGTATATGATTAGTCTGTTGCTTACTTCGACAATCAATATTTTCACAGCCATCTTGTTCTTGATATTCATTTCCATCTGAAAGCCTTGAATTTAATGATCATTTTCATGGGTTCTGATTTCCTAGGTCTTGCAATGACTGCCTTTGTCTCATCATTCATTCCTCTTCTTAAAAACCTTCTCCTCGAAATTTTTCTCTGATCACCCCAGCTAAAATAGCCTACCTCACATCCCATCAATTTTTATCATATTCTCCTAATGTATCTTCTTATTAGGAAATGCAAATATAAGATTGAAATAATTGGTTCCCTCAAAATTGTGTAGAATGTGTTCCTAAAAGCATTGTTTTTCCCCTTGTGAGATTTTAAAATAATATATCAATTCTTTTAATACCTTGGTGTTATTCTGAATTTCTAGTTCTTCTTGTGTAACATTTTAGTAAATTATGGGCTTCTATTAACAATATACTATTTGTCTAAGTTTTCAAATTTATTTAAGTTATAAATTGTTCTATTATCTCTTAAATGTTATTTATATCTGTAGTTCTCCATTATTTTTGTAATTTTATTAATATATTCCTACTCTGTCTTATAAAAATAGTTTTGCCAGAAATATTTTTGTTCTTAATTTTTTAAAGGCCTAATATCTTTTTTGAATAGCTCCGTCCTACTGATCATCTGTCTTTCTTTGATTTTTGCTTTTATCTTCACTATTACCTGTGTTCAACAAGTTTTAGGGCAATGTTGTTTCCATCTTTCCACATATTTTAGGTTGGATAATTGGCTCACTGATTTAAAGGTTTATTTTCTGCAAAATTCACTAGATACTAATATCCTTAACTATTCTGCCTGATTCTGCCTGATATTCTGCCTGACATATTGCCTAATCAGTTTATCTACACTGCAATATCTTAACTACCATACTTTTATAAAAAGTTTATATCTTCAACTTTTACTCAATTTCCAAACTGCTTTATCTATTTTCTTTTTTTATATTTATAAGATTTTAGTATAAGCTTGTCAATTTTACCCCCAAAAGCCTGCTGAGATTTTGATTAGGAATGCACTGACATCTCTTCAATATCGTAAAAGAAAACTGAATTCTATACGAAAGAGAAAACATTTCAATAAAGTAAGAACAAAATCCATATGAACATATCAATAGCTATAGTAAAAAATCTGTTACCAAAATGGGACATTTAGAAAAAAATTCATATAACTTTAAATGGAATTAATTCCCCGTCAAAAATAATGACAGGATAAAAAAATAAAATACATTTTTTAAAGTTTAGAAAATTAGAAATGGAATTGAGCTTTCTTATTACGTTAAAGAATGTCTATGATAAACCAGAATGAACATAATACCTAATAGCACAATATTGAGAGTTTTTCCCTTGAGATCAGGAATGATACAAAAATGTCTACTATGAATTCAGTTAAACATTGTTCAACTTGAATTGTTCTTGGGATCCTAGGCAATTCAATAGGAGAAAAACATTAAAAAAATAAAAGATAGACATATTGGAAAAAAATGAATAAAATTGTTTTAATTCACATATGACAAAGTTGGACACAGAAAAATTTAAATCTAAAACTACTAGAAATAAATATAGAAATATTATTGTATACAAGTCAGTGTATAACATTCAGTTGTTTTTCAACATAACAGAAACTCATAAATTATACTTAAAATGTAGTATTTACTAATATCATCAAACAGTATAGAATTTACTGGTATGACTAGGAATAAATCAAACAAAATATTTGCAAAACTTCTACATATAAAGCTACAAACAGGGGCTTCCCTGGTGGCGCAGTGGTGGAGAGTCCGCCTGCCGATGCAGGGGACACAGGTTCGTGCCCCGGTCCGGGAAGATCCCACATGCCGCGGAACGGCTAGGCCTATGAGCCATGGCCGCTGAGCCTGCGCATCCGGAGCCTGTGCTCCGCAACGGGAGAGGCCACAACAGTGAGAGGCCCGCGTACTGCAAAAAAAAAAAGCTACAAACAGTTTACACCTGTTTGCTATCTATAGTGTATTTTACTCTAAATTCCATTTTCTCATGTTTACTTCTTATTTAACCAAAGTATGTTTTATTATTTTATATTCACCTTCACTTTGCCCTATTAATGTATTTTTTGTAAAGAACTAATGTTTGAACTTAAATTTTTTTTTTTTTAAATCCATCAGAGACTCCATCTCTTACTTGGTGACTTTAATTCATTTACATTCACATGATTGTCATTATATTAGGGTATGTTTAAAACATTTCCTTTGATTATTTTCTATTCATTTTATTTTACATTATTGTTTTTAAGTTTCTTCTTCCTTGGCCATCTTTACATTTCTTCCATTAGACTATTATATGGTGTAGTTTTCTTCTTATTTGTTCTTAAGACCAACATTCATTTCATATACCCTTACTTCTTTCTAAAACATACCAATATCTTTACTGTGTTCTTAAGAAGACAAGTTCTATATATATACATATAACAAGTTCTATATATATATAACCAAAGCGTTGTGAAATAGGAGCAAAAACATACCAATTTTAAGCACACCAAGATTTTCTGCTAAGATAGAAATGTCAATTATTGCATTTGATTCTGTTTTTCTTCACCTATGTCCCAGGAAGCATTTTGCGGCAATTGATAAATAGTTTCAAAAGTTTTATTTTAACTTGCTTCATAATTGAATCAGCTACATAATGAAGAAAATGCTCAAAATCTAAGCTTGAAATTAAAATTAGTTATTAAATATTGAGTATATTAAAAATTTATGAGCATCTTATAAGACTATAAAATAGATCACTACCATAACTTTCTAAAAGAGGGTAATTTGAACTCACAAGAAGAAAATTGTAAAAATTTTATATGTATTAAGTTAAATGTGTTATATGTGTTAAGTTAAACTTCTTATAGTTCACACATTTCTGTCAGCAGCAGGAACAAAGATCCCTAGAATCATTATGCAAATTTTAATATACTTAGCCATAATAAAATACAGAAATAGTTAATTGTATATTACTCTAAATAGCATCGTACTTATACATCTTAGCCAAGTCACTTAAACCGTACCATACCAGAGCAACACCTCCTCCATAGTATTTATCACACAGCCTCCCTTGAAAGGTTGCACCAACATAATTTGGTTTTTCTCTGTAACTTAAGTTTAAAAAAGAAGCAAATCATAAAATTTTGTAAAATTAAGAACAATTAATATTAAATTTACCTAATACTTTTTGTTTTGCATACTTATATAACAAATTCATAGATATTTCCACTTTAACACTAGGATAACAAAGCATAGAAAGGGACTAAACGTGTCTGCTTATTTTGCAAATAGATTTAAAAAACAAATAATAAACAGTGTATTATCATACGGATTTTTAGAGAATAATGAAGATATTTTTATGTAATTAAAAAATTATACTGATTCCTATAACGTAAAAATAATAAAAATAAATAAAATTTCTTAAAAGTAGAAAGCTAAGCCAATGAAGTTGACAAATGGGCAGAGTAAGCTTATGTGTTGAAGTCTCCCCTTAATCAGATAGAATTAGCCTGCCCTAGCCATGCAAAGGCATGCATATTTGTGGGACAAAAAATAACTTAAAAGATTATAATTTTATAATTATATACATGATTTTTACATAATATGATAATATATAATACATACAGGTTTTGAATATTGATAAGAGAAAAACAAAGAGATTATTAAATAGAAAGGGAGGCTTATATTTTTAAAAGTGCAGCTCACTGTGAATATAGTATGTCAGAGATATTGAAATGTACAATAGTGTTTCTATTTCATCACTATTTTGTTTTGATTTTATGGAAATAAAACATTAAAAGAAGGCCATATTACTATATTCATAAAATTCAGGTATATTTTTTCAGACAGATATTGTTAATATTTTATGTATAGTTAGGCACATTTAATGATACGTTATATACTCAAGGTAAGAAAACGTGGTAATAAGATTGAAGTGAGTTTTAGCTATCAGTCAATAAAAAGAGTAATTATATTAGTAATTCTGCTATAAAACCTGTGTTGTGAAAAATAATATTCACAGGATGTTGTACATAAAAAAATGACATAAGATTTTTTTCCCTAAGGGCCTGTCAACTGTCAGAAATCAGGTCAAATTACATATGCTTTCTAATGTATAAGATTTAGTAATGCCAAGATATACTTACACAAGTAAAAATGCCACATCATGTGGACGCAAAACAAGATAAGATTGTTTCCATTTTAAAAATCTGCGTAATAATTCATTGGCATCTCCAGTTACCTGAATTTTATTTTCATCTATCCAAAGCTCTAATGAAGATAGAATTATTGTAATATTAAATGAATCAAAAATCTAAAATTGAAGACATAAAGAAAATATGTTCAAACTACATGGTTTAAATAGATTTGGGAATTTATCTGCAAAAATAAACGCTATACCGATGTAAATATTAAAAACCTAAACTGTAAATCTGGATTGGATCTTATAAATTCTATTAGCAAGTAATAAATATCACTAATAAAACAAGTAATGAGTAACATTTTGATATGCTTGTGCTTAAGCCAGCCCAATGTCAAGTGTTTAATTTAAGCCTTACAAAACCCTAATTAGGTATTTACAATTATTATTACTCCAATTAAACAGTTAGAAAACTGAAACTTAAGATGATTATATATTTGCCCTCTTTCACACAATATGTGTATTCAGGCAGGGTCATAAAAAAAGTCTGAGAATTGTTTAAGTAACACAAACAAATGCAAAAGCAAACACTTACAGCATTGGTCAATCCAATCAACTGGAAAATTTTTTGAGTGACAACAGTTGTATCAGAACCCATATGATTATACTGAAAAAGATAATTGCCTTTTAGATCTAAATATATATTGCTTAATATTTAATGATGGTTATTATGTTTAAAATTTAGAAGTATGAGTTAAGAAATTATTTAAATTACCAATTTATTAGTTTTTAAATAGTATTTATTATTATAGACATAATGTGTGGAAAATTAAAAATATTAAAAAAATACAAAAAGGCACTACAAACTCTTGCAAAATTAAGAGAAGAAGAAAGCCTTCTAAACACATTTTACAAGGCCAGCATTATCCTAATATCGAAACCAGACAAAAACACCCCAAGAAAAGAAAATTACAGGCCAATATTCCTGATGAATATAGGCGGAAAAATCCTCAAGAGAATACTGGCAATGCAAATTCAACAGCACACTAAAAGGATCACACATCATGATCAAGTGGGATTTATTCCAGGGATGCAAGAATGGTTCTATTTCTATGAATCCATCAATGTGATGCACACCACATTAACAAAATAAAGAATAAAAAAATCATATGATCATCTCAATAGATACAGAAAAGGCATTTGACAAAATAAAACCTCCTTTCAGGATAAAAACTCTCAACAAAGTGAATACAGAGGAAATGTGTCTCAGCAAAATAAAGGCCACGGCCAACATCATGCTCAACAGTGTAAAGCTAAAAACTTTCCCTCTAAGACCAAGAACAAGGGAAGGATACCTACTATCGCCACTCTTATCTAGCATAGTATTGGAAGTCCTGGCCAGAGAGATTAAGGAAGAAAAAGAAATAAAAGTATTCAAATTGGGGAAAAAGAAGTAAAACTGTCACTATTTGCAGCTGACATATGTAGAAAACCTGAAAGGCTCCACCAAAAAACTGTTGGAACTAAGAAAAATTCACCAAAGTTACAGGATAAAAAACCAATATGCAAAAATCTGTTATATTTCTTTATAATAATAACAGGCTCTCAGAAAGAGAAATTAAGAAAACAATCCCACTTACAATTGCATCAAAAGAATAAAATACCTAGGAAAAATTTAACCAAGGAGATAGGTCTTTACACTGAAAACTAAAAGACATTGATGAAAGCAACTGAAGAAGGCACAAATGAGTGGAAAGTTATTCCAAGCTCATAAATTAGAATAGTTAATATTGTTAAAATGTTCACACTACTCAAAGCAATATACAGATTCAATGCAATCCTTATCAAAATGTCAATGGCATTTTTCACAGAAATAGAACAAACAGACCTAAAATTTGTATAGAACTACAAAGACCCTGACTAGCCAAAGCAAATGTGAGAAAGAACAAAGCTGGAGACATCATGTTCCCTGATTTCAAACTATATTACCGGTACAAAGCACTGTGGGTGGTATTGTCATTAAAACAGACACATAAATCAATGGAACAGAATAGAGAGTTCAGGAGAAAACCCAACACATTATCGTGGGTTAATTAGTTTACACAAATGGGGAAAGGACAGTCTCTTTAATAAATAATGTAGGGAAAACTGTACAACACATGCAAAAGAATGAAACTGGACTACTATCTTACACCATACACAAAAAAATAATTCAAAATGTATTGAAGACTTGAATGCAAGACCTGAAACCATAAAACACCTAGAAGAAAACAGGTGATATGCTCCTTCACATTGGGTGGATAATGAACAAAGCATGAATATTTTTAATATTCAAAGTTTTCTTACAATTTGACAAGAAGGCAAACAACCATTAATAAAATGAGCAAAAGGATTAAGTTGTCAGTTCAGTGAAAAGAAAATACTAGTGGCCAGTAAACATTAAATGATGTTCAAATTAATTCTCAGTTAAAGAATGGAAGTTAAAATTACGATGAGATATAATTTTATACCCATTGGCTGACAGAAATTAAAGAGAAATATAAAACTAATCGTTGGCAGGTATGAGAGGAAAATACTTTCAGTTTTACCTTGGAGATGCGAAAAGTTACAGCGTTTTTATAAAGCAATGAACAATATCTATTGAAATTAAACTACATACATATCCTTTGACCCATCATCCATACTCCTGGTTACCTACTTTCACAGAGATTACGTTCCCAAGATGTAAGAACTCATGACTAAGGATACTTCATGTAGCATTATTTATAGTGACAAAGCAACATTTAAAACACTGGAAACAAAGTGAATACTCAACAATAATAGAATAAATGAATAAATGATGGTATATAAATACACTGGTATGCTGTGCTGCCCTTAAAAATGAATTAGCTATTCAGTTGATTTGAAAGACCGCCCACCAAAAAAATTAATGAGTATATTAAATAATCCAAGCAAACATCAGAGACTGACAGACTTGATTAAGGAAAAAAACAATTAAATATAAATTGTTACAGAAGGGATGTCCCTGGTGGTCCAGTGGTTAAAACTCCATACTTCCACTGCAGGGAGCACAGTTTGATCCCTGGTCGGGGAACTAAGATCCCGCATGCCGTGCGGCATGGCCAAAAGAAAAAAATTGTTACAGAAGACATAGTACATTTTCAAGGACTGGGAAGTCCATCAGGAAGACATAAAACTATAAACATTATATGCATCTAAGAACTGAGCCTAAAAATTACACGAAACGCACAAGTGAAGGGAGAAATAGAAAATTCAACAATAATGTATGGAGATTTAAGTACACAATTTCAGTAGTAGAATAACTGGTCAAAAACTCAACACAGATATAGGAGACTAAAACTAAACCCTAAACCAACAGATATTTATAGAATATTCCACCCCAAAATGTCACAACATGCGCTTCTCAAGTGCTCATGGAACATGATCTAGGAATAGACTATATACTAGGTTATAGGATAAGCTTCAACTGAGTTAATACAATTAAAAAATACAAAATTGCTCTCTGACCATAAAAAATCAACAACAGAAAGAAATTTGAGAAATTCAAAGTATGTGGAAATTAAACAATAGATTATAAATAACCAATAATCAAAGAAGAAATCACAGGGAAATTAGAGAATACTAATACAACATAGTAAAATTCATGGTATTCAGCTAAAGCAGTGCTCAGAAGGCAACTTATAGGAAATAGCTATATTAAAAAAAAGAAGCACCATCTCAAATAACTAATTTCCACTTAGGAAATTAGTGAATGAAAAGCAAAGAACTCAAAGGAAGGAAATGGAAGAAATTAATAAAAATCAGAGCAAAATGATTGAAATATGAATATAAAAAACAACATATATTAACAAAACAAAAATTATTAATTCAGGATAAAAGAAAGGTTACAGTCACTAACCACAGAGAAATAACTAGCCTTGTAAATGAACACTGTGAAAAATAATGTGGCAACAATTTAGATAACTTAGATGAAATGAATGATTTCTTATAATAAACAGATACTGAAACTGACTCAAGAAGAAACAGAATATGTAACAAGCAAAAAGATTAAATATGCATTTAAAAAATTCCCACAAAGAAAAGCCTAGTTCTAGAAGGCTTTATTGGTGAATCCAATCAAACATTTAGAGAAGAATTAACACCAATTCGTTACAAATTCTCCTATAAAATCGGAGGGAACCCATTTCTATTCATTCAGTAAGGTCAGTATTACCCTGATACGAAAACCAGAAAAGACATAACAAGAAAATAAAAGTCCAAAACAAACTACATTCCTCATGAATATTATTGTAAAAATCCTAATCAGAAAACTAACCAATTTATGCAACACATAAAAAGAATTAGACACCACGACCAAGTGGGATTTATCTCAGAAATACAAGCTTGGCTTAATGTCTAAAAACCAATAGATGTATTTCAAAACATTATAGAACAAGGAACATAATGACCAAAACCCACATGATTCTTTTTTTCCTTTTTACATCTTTATTGGAGTATAATTGTTTTACAATGCTGTGTTAGTTTCTGCTGTATAGCAAAGTGAATCAGCTATACGTATACATATATCCTATCCTCTCCCTCTTGCATCTCCCTCCCACCCTCCCTGTCCCATCCCTCGAGGTGGTCACAAAGTACTGAGCTGATCTCCCTGTGCTATGCAGCTGCTTCCCACTAGCTGTCTATTTTACATTTGGTAGTGTATTTATGTCAATACTACTCTTTCACTTTGTCCCAGCTTCCCTCCCCACCCCCTGTGTCCTCAATTTCACTCTCTACGTCTGCGTCTTTATTCCTGTCCTGTCCCTATGTTCATCAGAACCTTTTTTTTTTTAGATTCCATATATATGTGTTAGCATACGATATTTGTTTTCCTCTTCACTCTGTATGACAGACTCTAGGTCCATCCACCTCACTACAAATAACTCAATTTCATTTCTTTTTATGGCTGAGTAATATTCCATTATATACACGTGCCACATCTTTATCCATTCATCTGTCGATGGACATTTAGGTTGCTTCCATGTCCTGGCTATTGTAAATAGTGCTGCAGTGAACATTGTGGTTCATGTCTCTTTTTGAATTATGGTTTTCTCAGGGTATATGCCCAGTAGTGGGATTGCTGGGTCATATGGTAGTTCTATTTTTTTTTTCCATAGTGGCTGTATCAATTTACATTCTCACCAACAGTGCAAAAGGGTTCTCTTTTCTCCACACCCTCTCTAGCATTTATTGTTTGTGGATTTTGTGGAAACTGGACATTCTTTCAAAAGACACAGAAGAAGCATTTGACTAAAGAAAAAAAAAAGCTCAATAAACTAGGGATAGACGAGAACTCCCTCAACCTGATAAAAGACGTCTATTAAAAAACCACAGAGAGCATCACACTTAATGGTGAAAGAATAAGTGTTATTTCTCTTAGATCAGGAAAAAGATAAGTATATCTGTTCTCATTGCTACTATCTCAGCTTTCACTGGAGGCTCTAGCCTAAGCATTTAGTAAAGGAAAAGAAACAAGAGGCATCTACGTAGAAAAAAAAGAAGTTAAACACTCTATTAACAGACAAAAAGACGTGTATATATAAAAATCCTGGGCTTCCCTGGTGGCACAGTGGTTGAGAGTCCGCCTGCCGATGCAGGGGACGCGGG